ACCCTTGTAAGTTTTATACCACTTTCTCAAAAGAGATAAAATCCTTGGGGAAGGAACTTGCTCAACAGTGGTAAAAGTTGAGTAGAAAATGGCTTTCTATAAAAATAAAGCACTAAAAAATGAGATGAGTAAAGCAGTTTTAAGAGTAACTTTAAGCAGAGAGGATTTCAGATACCCTTTTGATAGTAAACACTCCCAAGCTGGTGGTTATTGCCTTCAGGATGAATGTGCTGTAACTCCTAGAAGTGCCAAGATTATCCTCTTTCACTTCCTAGATTCCCCCCCCCCCCCCAGTCCTGTAACAAGTTTATTTGGTGTCACCAAGGTCTCAAGGATGTTGAGTAGTGCAACTCGGTAGTGCAAACCTTTACAATCTGTTCAAACTCTCCGCTATGTTGGCAGTGAAAATGAGTCACTGCCATAATTCTCCAGTTTCTTGGGGAGATCAGACTGCTTTCCTTCTTCAGCATGTGTCATTTTCTTATCAATGGAACAGACTAGATCAATCAGCCCTCCACTCCCAAAATATCATTGGCAGAACTGAAATAGCAGCTATGGGCTTATCCACGCTTACTTTCCTCTGCTCTTTCCAGACACAGCCCACAATTTAAAGCTTTGTGTCTGAACACCCCTCTTCTTTTGCTCCAGAACTTTCTCCATGAAAATGCATTCTTTAAAGCTCAATTGGAGCAAATATCAATCTGCGGAAAACCCAAATGGGTGTTTGCTCGGATTCAGCTTTAAAGAGTGAGGGTTTGCGGGGAAAGATCCAGGGCAAAAACAAAACAAAAACCCAACAACGATGCTCAGACATGGAGTATTAAAGTGCAGATCTCTGGCTGGAAAGAGTAGGGCAAAAGGTAAGTTTGGGTAAGCCCTTAGTGAGTGACTGTACTCAAACAGCTCTTCAAGGGCAGCCACCACATGGATCCAGTCTTAAGCTACCTCCCTACCTTCCTCTTGTCTGTAGTCTGTAGTCATGCTCTGCTCTTATTCTTCAGTTGGAATCACATTATGACCCTTTGCCTTGCAGCTGGCTCAGATAATCCTTACCATCTTTCTCATCTAGATTCCAACTGGAAATTCTTACATGCATATGAGCCTATATTTGTTTTATTTTTTGAAGAAAAAAAGAACTACAGTGGCACAACAGAAAACAGCAAGAAAATTTCTTTGAGTGTTTTCTAAGTCTCTTCAGTCCAATGTTCCTGGTGTGTAAGAAAACCCTTTGAACGTGTTTGGCTAACTGAACCTTTCAGAACACAAGAAAGACCTTTCTTACATCTAATAGCTGTTGCCCTGAAGATGAACTCTTTTGAGTTGGAAACGCACTGGGAATCTTGAACTGAACAAACCCTTGCATGCACACACAGAAGCCTTTTGCTATCTCCCAAGTTTTTTCATCTGAACTACTTACTTGGTTTTCTCTCAACTTGCATCTTGATCTGTCTGGTTTTACCCCAGTGCTCGCAGGACAGGCCACAGGTGATTCTTTCATAGATTGCCTGTGGGGTGGTGGTAGGAGGTCAATCTACATCAGCACCCTGATATACATGAGGGTAAGAAGCCTCCCACTGTAGCCCCAACATAGGCTACAGGACTGTCTTTCCTACTAGGGAGAGTGAGGAAGCTACCGCAGGCCTTAGATTTAGACTATCATGAAAAGCCAGCAAATTGTCGTTACTCAATTTATTGTTTTGTTTTTTCTGCCAGGTAGGGAGAAAGGTGTTTGTGAGGTTTTCTGCTACGCACCTTAACCTGGGGGTTCGGAAGGAATATTTTGATGCTTTGAGGTATCCATACCTTCCAGTGCCTGCAATTTGCATTGGGGGGGGGGAGAAACTACCATTGGAGCAAGTGGGAGCTTTCCTTCAATGCCAATTGCAGGCATGATGTGGGGAGCAGTCAGAGGACAGTACCCCACCCGGTGCCGATAAAGAAAAAGCTTGCAAATGGTGTGATAATTATCACAGCTGGCTTGACCCTTTAACACAAGAATTTCTAGATCAGGAAACTGTTTTTGGACTAATACATTTAGTTGCAGTGATGTTAAAGAGCGTGCATTGGTTATGTTATGTTGGAATGCCTCTATATCAGTTTCATAATGATGTTTCTGAGTATTTGATTTAAATTGTGTGTGTGTGTGTTTTTAAAAAATGTGTTTGTCTTAATACAATTTCCACCTATTTGTATTTTTTCCAATATAAAATGTAAAATGTATCCTAAAATTAATTAGAGATGAAAAAGAACACAATCAAATGGTAAAGCAAAGGTCAATGTGCTTCTTTCATCCCTTTGCTGGGCTAGTCTCATTCTAAGCATCATCTTGGCAAGAGTTTGGTTATTCTCAGCAAAATTTAATCAATTTCCGGGTGATCATTACAAGCTTCAAAAAACTATTGAAGTGAAGTTTGTTCATTGCGAAAACCTATGGCCTTTTCTGCAGTTGTCTTCCCACTTTCCTCCCCACCCCCACCCCTCAAGATCTCCCCGCCCCCCATGAGTTAGTATCACAAGTGCTGCTTCCTGGGGCCATTTCACATGACACAATGACAAGCCCTGGTTTGCAACTGGAATCCTAGTCTGGTGCTCATAAGTGGCTTCAGTGAACATGCAAGGAGGTGTGAATGCACAGGTTCTGCCCTCCCCCATGGTAGTTGCCCTCCATGAGTTGAGGAGGGTACAAATGGAATACAATACATATTTAAGACCCCTTTTCCAACATTCTCTGTGAATCCCTGCTTCAGACAGTCACACTCCAACTCATGGTAGATGACTAGAACAGCAACTGGCGATGAGCTAATGTGCACATGCCTACTGTCCCCACATTGTGAGTTCATTTTTTAAAAAAACATTTTTATTAAAGTTTTTAAAACAAATTTTAACATATTCAAGAAACTCAAATTACATTTTACATACTCAATATACCCCCCCCCATGACTTCCCCCAACTTCCCTTTCTGGTTTAGAGTGTATTATTTTTGTTGTGCATATAGTTTTGTATCCCTTTCATGATAAAATAAATGTATTTCTTAATCTGTACTTAGTCTCTTAGTCCTTATTCGTATTTACTATTTGTATTTGTCGATTGTAAGTGTATTACTCAAATCCTGCAAATGAGTTCATTTCAATGTATTGTTTCTGTATACAGTGGTACCTCTGGTTACGTACTTAATTCGTTCTGGAGGTCCGTTCGTAACCTGAAACTGTTTTTAACCTGAAGCACCACTTTAGCTAATGGGGCCTCCCACTGCTGCCGCACCGCCACCGCGCGATTTCTGTTCTCATCCTGAAGCAAAGTTCTTAACCCGAGGTACTATTTCTGGGTTAGTGGAGTCTGTAACCTGAAGCATATGTAACCTGAAGTGTATGTAACCCGAGGTACCACTGTATATATCTTTAAAGGTTCCCAATCCCTTTTGAAGTCATTATTGTCTTTATCTTTAAGTCTCTCAGTTAGCTTTGCCATTTCTGTGTATTCCATTAACTTTTCTTGTCATTGTTCTTTCGTTGGTATTTCATTGCTTTTCCATCTTTGAGCTAATAGCATTCTCGCCGCTGTTGTCACATACATAAATAAATTCCTGTCTTTTGGTATATCTTGACCTATAATACCTAATAAAAAAGCTTCTGGATTTTAAACAAAGGTTATCTTAAACATTTTTTTCATTTCATTATAAATCATGTCCCAATAATTTTTAATTAGTTTGCAATTCCACCACATTTTCATTTCATTATAAATCATGTCCCAATAATTTTTAATTAGTTTGCAATTCCACCACATATGATAAAAAGTACCTTCCTTTTCTTTGCATTTCCAACACTTATTAGAGCTCATTTTGTACATTTTTGCCATTTTCACTGGTGTAATATACCATCTATACATCATTTTCATATAATTCTCTTTCAACAGTATACAGTTTGTGAATTTCAAATTGCTCTTCCATAGCTTTTCCCATTCATCCAAATGTATATTATGTCCTAGGTCTTATGCCCATTTAATCATGACTGATTTCACCTCTTCATCTTTTGTCTCCCATTCTAATAATAAGCTGTAAGTTTATTATTCTATTATTTATTTTTGAAATCTAGAAACAGTATAACTAAATCCTTTCTTACTATCTTCCTTAAAAATCTCATTTAATTGTCGATGTTGCAGCCAATCACTATCCTCATCCTTGATTTCTTCATACTCTTTTAATTTTAATTTCCCTTCTCTTTCTATCAATAAGTCTCTGTATATCGGCCATTTTGCCTCCATATTTATTCTCTTGATTGACATCGCCTCTGTAGGAGCCACCCACCAAGGTGTTTTTTTGCTCTAACCACATTGTGAGTTCATTTAAGTCACATATGAATGCCTTAACAGGGCTTGAGTAAATGGTCAACAGGGAGAATGATGCCACATGTTTTCAAACACCTTTGTCTCAAACATGGCCTCAAATGTATGTAATGATAATCTGAAGAGCCATTTAGATCAGGAATAGCCATTTTGGATGGGAGACAATCTGGAGTGAAGAAACAGCAGGGGGAGAGATTGTTGACCCATTCCCCAGCTTATCACACACCACACACCTCTAGACTTTGTCCATGAATAATTTAATTCTCTGCTACAGCAAGGAATAAGTCTCTGAATAAACGCTAATGAGTAAGTCACAAGTACCAAAATAGTGACTCACTCTTTATGCTCGTACAAACCTGGCGACAAACTCATGCATGAGAAGAGCTTCTTCTGTTTAATGGAAATCACACTGCTGACTAACTTGGCCCACCTACAATGGAAAATAGGACAATTTTGCACATGGCAATTATGTTCTCAGTGCAGTCTCTGACAAGAGATAGTAGTTTCAAAGGAAATTCTAAACCACAAAGAGTACAGCATACTCTCTTACTGCTCTATCCTGCCTACCTTAACTTTTGATCTCATGTAAATGTGGATTTAAATGGGTACTCAGCTGTTCCAGTTAGAAAGTACTTCTTGGACTGCTTTTAGGCCACACCAGAGCAGATGTGCATGGGACAAACAGGTAGAAGATTATGTAAAATAAGCATTACTTGCTGAAATTGAGCAGGTAAGAGCCATGTTTCTATTGTTTAGAGAATTGTTTAGAGTTTAGCAAAGAAGAAGAGGAAGAGAAAGAGGAAGATTTACTAATAGAGTGTATGTAACAGAGATAAAATCAGTTAAGATGAACTATAAAATCAGAAAACCTATGTAAAATGCTTACTGATTTTTTATATATATAACAAAGTCTTCACCAGATGCCTGAAGTTCAACAGGGATGGGACATGTCTGATCTCAGCTGGGAGGGAGTTCCACAGAATTGGGTCCACAATACTTAACGCACAGCTCCTGCTAGATATGAGGCATATGCCTGTGCAATGGGGGACCACTAACAGTGACCTCCCTGAAGACCTCAGCGATTGAGCAGGGACATAAGGGATTAGGTCTGTGTTGTATCCCAGACCCATGTTGTTAAGGGCCTTGTGAATTAATACGTGGAAATGAGCCTGGTAGCATATGAGCAGCCAGTGATCATCCCACCCTAGCTGTGCTTAGTAATTATTTTGTTTTGGCACCATTAGTTTTTCCATGGCCAAGAGGCACACTTTGTAACGTGCATTAAAATGCACATCTCATTGAAAACAATGCAGTGGAGAGAGCAAGCAGCAACCATGCTCAGATGAACATTCCAACAGATATATAGATGAGAGCATCTGATTTATGCCCTGAGACAGTTTTACATGTCTAGAAGCCTGCGTCCGAATATCTATCTTTTGAGCCGGTTTGGGGCAGCTATCCAGGACAATCTGATGCCAAAGCCCAGCCATCCTATATGCCACCTAATCATACCAGCTTGTGTTAAGTAAAAGCAGCTTAATCATAATCTTAATCCCAGGAATGATTTATGTTTGCCCAATTATGGCTAAGCATATAACGGTTAAAAGTCCCTTGCAAGAGCAAGAGCCTGCATTTGCAAGTCATTTTTTCCGTATGACTGATGAGTCTTTTCAGTTTGCCTCTGTAGTTGTGGAATTGCCAGCAGCAATTAGAGGTGGTGAAAAGGATCTCTGTGCATTGAAAAGCTTTGCCTGCTACCTTGCTTGAGTATCAACCTATATAGGCCAATTGAAAAATTGGCAATTCTTGGTTTGGAGTCGCCCCCGCCCGTCACTTAGAAACAGGGCTGGTTCTGCCATCCAGCACAGTGAAGCAAATGGCTTCAGTGGAACCAGGGGGTAGGGAGAAATAGATAGGGACAGGGATTTGGTCTCTGAATTGTGCAGCAAAGCTTTTAGAAGCCTTGTTCCACTGCAGACAACAAAATCTTTGGAGCCAGCATGGCCAGAAAATAAAGTCTTTGCTTGCAATGGGAATGATGCCATTTCACAAACATCCCTCCCCACACGGGCAATTCTAAAACTTCTCGAACAACCTTCAAATAATTATAACACACACTTCTGAATTGCACAAAGGATTCCAGCTGCACAACTCCATTTATCTTTTGGATTTGTGCATTTTAATTCTCCAGTGTCATTTATGAAATGCAGCAGGCTGAAGCTAGACCACCTCCTCCCCCTGCTCCACTCTTACATGTAATATAGATGCGTCCCATCTTCTTGGGAAGCATCGCATTATATACAGCATAATTACATAGTACAGAAAGAGCAAAGGAATACAGTGAAATGGTAATTCCTCTCATGACATCCCTTTCGCCGCAAGATAGCAACAAAAGTTCCAGTAACCCTTACAGACTAGGAAAGAACTGTGAAGGTGGACTACTGGAGGCGGCAGATCATATTGCATTGTTATTGTTGTTTATTAGACTTGTTAGCCATTGCTACCCAAAGCCCTCCAAGCAACTTAAATGCATTTGAAAATGTAAACATAAATGCATTATACCATTTAAAAAATCATGCAAAACACCTACCATTCATTAGTGTGTGTATATACAAAATACACACATGAGCACAAACATACACAATCACCCACAGGAATCTCTGGCAGCACGCAACATCCATTAAAATAAGGACCACACATTCCAAAAGTCTGTTACGCTCGTGATATAACTAGTTTCATCAGCGTTAAAGAAGTCAGTTCAAGCTCTTGCGGTTGATAGATCTGTGATTGTTTTAAATGACATTTGAGGATTTTAGCAATTTTCAGTACTACCATGCCCCATTATTAACCTCTGTCAGGACAAGTATTATCACTAGATCAACAGGACCAGGGATGTCAACTTGAATAAAATATTAGGGGGAGGCAAGTACGCCCTACCCCACATAATCAATCCCCTATGCACCCCCTGAATCTGTTCCAGGGGGTTCCCCAACCCTCTGGAGCAGATTGTGGGTGGGTGGGGTGCACGCATAGAGGCAGGAGAGAGAAGAAAGTTCCACTGCACAAATGTAAATCCTTGTGCTGATAGGATACGTTAGTTGTATACCGCCCAAAGTTTTTGACCTCTGTACCATTTTGTAAATATGCAAGATCAGAAGTCCACTTCTGTATTATAGGCAGATGTACGGTATACAGCTGTGCATGCAGACATGCAAGCATTGTAAAATAGAATCCCCAGTGTGTGACTAAAGCCATAGCAGCCCAATTAGATTTTGCCAAATCATTGTAAAAGGGATGTTAATAATGGATGTCAGCAGGTGTCATCCCAAATCATTATGCTGCCCGAGAGGGACAAGATGATGACCATTCTTTGTCCAATGCACAAATGCTGAATGTACTGGCAACTGAATCTTACTTCCACACATGAGGCGGCAGGGCAGATGAAGCAGCCTAGGAGAGACCATGTGGCAACAGGGCAGAATAGTGGGGAACTTAAGAGGAACAGCTGCTGCTTCCCCTTAGCCAGGCCAGACTTTATGAAGGCCGTTATTATGAAACCTTCAGGGCACTCATACACATCATCATCTAAAGAACGGCCCCAGAAGACTATTATGTTCAGAGCCTAAAATTATTCAACTGTACCAATGTATCTATGCTTTCTGGCCCTGTGCATGGTGGTTCTGACTGCAGCAACTTGTCCATCTGGTTTTCAAATCTTGGGGAACCTCTGGGGATTGTAACTAAGGGGTGATCTCACAACAAGGCGCAGAAGGTTTTTGTTTGTTTGTTATTGTTGCTTTATGTCAAGAGGACATGCTGAAGAAATAGGTGGATTCAGAAACATTTGCTTTCAGGGGGCATAGGAATGTATTCACATGTTGAGAAATTTAAGGTTGGTTTTTCAAAGTAAGCCTGTGGCGTTTCTGTAGGCCATTTGATCATTCCTCTATTTTTAATCCATTGTTCATTAAAAATATGCTACAAGTGTCAAGATGCCTCACCTCTACTTCCTCCTTTATCAAGCAGTAAAAAAAGATCAGGCTGCTCCACATTTATTTAGGTTGGAGTTGTTCAAATGAATTCAAGGTACCTGCATTCCTAGACCTTAGCTCCTTTTAAAAGATTGGGCTCTTCTTCAATTATCCAGGTTGGTGTTTTCAAATGACTTCATGCCATCCACATTCCTAAGCCTCAGCTCCCAGACTTCACAGTATTATCATTGACATTAATGCCAAGATGCTGTAGTGGATACAGCAGGGATGGGAAACATGCATAAAGCCCTTCAGATGTTGTGCTTCAGCTCTCATCAGCCTCAGCCAACATGACCAGTGGTCATGGATGACAGTAGCTGTACTGCATCATCTTCTGAAGGTCCACACATTCTTCATCCCTAGGAGAAAGGAAGAATCAGCCATGATCCAGTCAGCCACAGACTGGCATCATTCTACCCAATTGTTGAATAAGAATAAAAATAACAGGATTATTGTGAGGATAATGTGGTGCAGGTCCCACAAGATGTGATCAATTTTTAGCTTTCCCCCCTCATGCCCCTTTAGTGATCTGAAACAAAAATGATCCAAACAGTCACAAAACATATATCGAATGATCATTTATATTAAGCCAAAAGTCAAACAATGAGCACTCCAACTTCCCTCTTTTTTCTTCATGGGAATAATGCTTGCCAAAATCTTCACCACGTGAAATTTTATTTATTACAATTGTTATTTATATGTGTATGTGCTAGCCTTCTGCTCGACAATAGGCCTCCATGGTGCATAAAAATAAGATAAAATTAAAACACAATAAATGTAAGCAATATTTATTAGAGGAGATGCTAAAATGCCCCACCAAAGCATGAGATATGCAAACAGCAAATGAATTCAATGATAATAACACAACAGAAATTAGAAAGAAGACCCTACCCAGTGTACAACCGGTATCAGGTTTCAACGAGAGAAGCATTTCCATCCATTATCTTCTAATGTGTCCAGCTGTCACTGACACACCCCTCCTGTTCCCACTAGAGGAGTTAGAGAAAGATGATGCTACCCAGTCTATGAATTCCCCACTAACCATAGTTAAATAGGAAAGGTGACAACACTGCTTTAGTCTCAAACCTGAAGCGATGACCTCAAAGGGATTAACCCTTTGGAGGTGGCCTGCCAGTTCTAGGCAAATGAGAAATGGCACTTGAGAAGTGTGCTTCTACCAGGATGCTTCTAATAGCACTGGATTATCCTATCTCTAGTTCATAGGTTTTCTCCTTGCCTGCAGAGCTAAACACCACCACCATCTCTTTCTGTGTTGATTAACAAAGGCATTAGGAGTGAGGACAGGAAATGACGATATAAAATGAGCTCCCCCTGCCCTTAGAAGTTGCTATTGCTATTCTTTAACAAGTCTGCATCAGCCATGGAGGAAATAGTTCCCTCTACTAGAAGTGGACTACTTAGAAACTAAGGTCAAGTAGCACTGGATATTTGCAGTCTTCTGGGTTCTCTTTGTCCAGATAGCTGGACAGTCTGAAGCTCCCTGCTCTTCCTGGTACCAGTGGCCCTGGTGATTGATGAAAGGGAGATGGAATTATGTAAAATGTCATTACAAATTAAACTGATGTGAACATGCCCAAAGTGGCACAAGAATGCCGTCATTTCTGCTGGAAGTTGTGTAGATAGCTAATTCTGCCCCAAAGGTTCAGCAGATCTTTGGCGATGAGGATATGACATATTTAGTAAGCTTCCCTAAGCTTTTCCTTTTAAACACTGCATCTGCTAACATAATTTCACTACTGAGAACTTTCAAGTCCGTTCTATATGCTTTTTTTTTTTAAAAAAAAAAAAGGTAACGTTGCCATACAAGAAATATGTAAAATAACTAAGCAAGTAATAGACATCACCCCAGAATTGGCCCTACTAAACATCTTCCAAGACAACAATGCCCATTTACACCACAAAGAACTCATAACCCACCTGCTCTCAGCAGCCAGAAACACCATAACCAGACACTGGAGAGACCTGTCAGGAGTAAGCATGGACCAATGGTACCAAATAGTATGGGAAACAGCACTACTAGAAAAATTAACTAATAAACTGAAACTGACACGGGGACAAACAGAAGAAGACGCCTTCACCCCGGTATGGCTCCCTTTATCACATACACAGCCCAACAGGACAATGACAATAATCCACCAACAGCATACAAATCAATATGGCTAACCTGATCCAAAACACCCACCCACCTCACTCACACATGAAAACAAAGATCACCACAGCCAATCACAAGCAAACAATCACACCCTAGGCCAACCCCAACCTCTCTCACCACCAAAGGAACACAAGTGAACAACACAAGCAACGCTGACACCAAACTCTACATACATTAAACATAATAGAAACACCGCCACCCGACCCCACCCCTATCCATCTTCCCTCTCTCCACCCCCCCTTTCTTTTTTCTTTTTCTTTTTTCCCCTTCTCCCCCTAATGCCTCAACAAATGAAATGGGTTTGTAAAAATGTTACATGGAAAGAAAAAAATACGAGGCACTACACTTCTGTAAAATAAGAAAATCCTTAATAAAATATTTTTTTAAAAAAAGGTAACGTTCATAGACTGCATGTTGGAAACTTAATTTATACAATTTTTTGATATACTTACCTTGGATTTTATTTTATTATTACTTTTAAATTAAAGAACAAGAGCTTGTCACTAATCTGTTTTGAATAAATTGTATACAGCCCGGTATTAAAGGTACTGCAGGGGATCAAAATACCATTCCCATATTGAACATATCAGAGGAAGAAAAAAAATGTCACTTTTTCTTTTGAAACCTACAAACCTAGAGAAAAATCAAACAAAATAGATGTTAGGTCTTTGATCTCTTTCCATGCTTAGAATCACAGGAGAATGGTCCTTTCGTTTTGTCTTGAAATTATTCACCCACTGTAACTTCAAGGCAAAGGAATGCTCAAGAGTTTCCATAACTTATCATGGCTACCTAATTAGAAAAAATAACCTCTCTTGCACAAGATTTTTAGATGATGCCTCTAACATTACAAAGAGGCAACATCATAGCCGGCAATCCTTGCTATTGACTTTTGCCAGACCTAACGTTGCTATAGAGTGGCTAGCTCCATCGTTTGTGTGTATGTGGTGTGTGAACCTCAGATGAAATCTGCTAAGTAATGATTTACTGTGCTTTCAGCATATGCCTGTGTTACTGAAACAAATTGAAGAAGCAGAGACATGTAATTTATTTGTTGGAGCCAACTGAGTAAATAGGGAAGTGTCTCAATCGAATGAGTGATGCTTAGGTGTAACTAGCATTGTATTTAAAAATCTAATATTTACCCCCTTGTGACACCTCCTTACCTCAAATACATGATTACAGATCATACTAAGTGTCTTCTCCCATTTACTAGGACAGGAATAAATAATATTGCTTACCATATCAGGATCTTATGTTTGTTTGTTTTTTAATTAAAAATTAGAATGGTTGGCATGCAGCGTTACTATTAATGTTGTCTTTTTTTGTCTACCTCTCCTTCCAGAGAACTGGTCCTGTGCCTCATGAAAAGGGAACAGGGATGGAAGGAGAGAGGCAATGTTGGGTAGGAAAGAGAGAGGGGGGAGCAGTGAGGATTCACCCCACCCTCAATGTTCATGCCCCCATTCTTGAATTTTGAAATAAATCTCTCCTGTTTACATACCTCCCTGTGCCTCCCAGAAAATTCAAGATTTTTAAAAAACAAATAAAAAATTGTAAGTACAGTAGTACCTCTGGTTACGTACTTAATTCATTCTGGAGGTCCGTTCTTAACCTGAAACTGTTCTTAACCTGAAGCACCACTTTAGCTAATGGGGCCTCCTGCTGCTGCCACGCCCCCGGAGCACGATTTCTCTTCTCTTCCTGAAGTAGAGTTCTTAACCCGAGGTAATATTTCTGTGTTAGCAGAGTCTGTAACCTGAAGCGTATGTAACCTGAAGCATATGTAACCCGAGGTACCACTGTAGTGTAAATATTTGCCAGGTGAACTTTTTCTTTCCATTACTCATTCCAAAGCATCTGTTGGAGCATATTATTAACTGCTGGTTTGTTTGCTTCCTTCCTCATACTTATATCCCACCCTTCTTCCTAATGAGAGCACGGAGTGGTTTACAATGCAATATAACAAATTGTACAGTAAAAAATAACAGCATTAACTCAACATCATAGCAAACTATAGAAAGTAGTAGTGTCAGCAAGAAGGTTAGTTACATTCCATTTCACCTTTTGCTTAAATAAAGCCAATGTGTAGGTCAACCAAATTCTTTGGGGATCCCAGAATCAGCCCTCCCCCCAAGAACATCTTGCCTCATGCTGTCACCCACCCAGCTAAAGCTAAGGTTAGATTAAGAAGTAGGGCGTCCCCAGCAGATCTTAAAATACAGACTAGGCAGTAGTTGTTCATACACACACACACACACACACACACACACGAGAAAAGAAGGGATGGGCCTTTTTAGGGAGGGAATTCTTCAAAGACCTTTCTTGTAGCCATCAGCTTTGCAGAATAAAGGCACACATTTGTTATCATTTCAATATACTGTTCATTTTCATTATAAAACATTTTGGTACTCATTTGTTAAAACCATATTTCTTTCATTATTCATTCATTAGTCATGCACCTATCATCAATTTCATTGTATGTTTTCTTACCTTAACTCTTTTTTTTTGGGGGGGGGCATTCTGAGCGGCAGGGGAACTGATACTAGTGGGCATTCCTATTGGCTACCATCTTACATTCCCAGAATGTTCCTAGACATTGCATTCTTCCTGGGCATGAGTGAAAGGGAAACAGTGGCTTCACCCACCGAAAAGGGGAACTCGGATTAGTGTGCATCCTTTTTGTGCCTCAAATGGCCCCAAACGATACAACTTTCTTGGAAAATTAAATGGCTGCCAACATCAGCCCCATTGCTGCCACCAGGGAGACCAGGTTAGACCTCCCCTTCCAAAATGGGTATGAACAGGCGTGAAATGTGAGAAATGTATGCTTTCATTACTCATGGCATTCTCTTCAGAATGAATGAAAATGGAACCCAATGCCCCCTTTCAGTTAATATTTTCAAACATTGCAAAATGAAGGCACGCTTCTGAGGCAGAATGCAGCTGCTTTTGAATATATTAATACATAGGGCAGTTTATGTGGGCAAAAGCTCTCCTTATACATTCTGCCTAGCATTCAGCAAATGTTAATTCTAAATACATGTGGAGGGGCAGCTGTAGCAGAAGCCATTTTTATGATTTTCATGACACAGAAAGGTACCTCACGGTTTCATTTGGTGGCCTTCATTCCTTTCTGACATCTTCTTTAAACCTTATGAATTTTCTTGACATCCTCCAGCTTCCTTGCTCTCTTCCCTCACTATATCAGTTAATGCCCAAAAGATTGCTCAGCAATGATCAACCATGAGCCTCAAAAGAGAAGATTTCTGCCATGTTGACTACTGCCAGTCAAACTTCTAAGCCAGTCATATAACAAAAGGTTAGCCAAATACAGTGCGTTTTGCTGGAAGAATGAGCAAACAGGCTGCTGATCACGACAGCTTTGTATATTAGCCTCCTACTGTGAACCAGGGAGGCAAGATTATATTAAATGAATATGTAATCCCAAGCATTATATACAGATTAAAAGTGACTTTAGCTTGGATGTCAGAACGATGATGGATGGAAGTTCCTTGCATATGCATTTCCCAAGTAAACTCTATTAAAACAGCAAGCCTTTGTGGAATTGAATCTGCTAGTTTTGAAAGAGACAAAATCAATAATTCTGGCAAACCTGACAAATTTTCTTGCCTCCCCCCACACCCTGACTTTGGTAGGCTGGTAATGGGTCTGCAAAAGTCTGACTTGAAAAAACATGCTAGTCTCTGTTGAGGTAATCAATTAAAGCTGCAATCCTTTACTCTCCTGGGAGTAAGCCCTACTGAGCATACTGGGTCTTACATCTGACTAAGATGAGAGGGCTACCTATGGCTACTAGCCATGATGACTATACTTTGCCTACACAGGAATGCTTCTGAATACCAGTTGCTAGAAACCTCAGGAGAGGAGATGGTTCTTGTGCTCAAATCCTGCTTGTGGGTTTCCCATAGGCATCTAGCTGAGAACAGGATGCTGGACTAAATGGGCTATTGGTCTGACCAGCAGGCTCTTCATATGTTCTTATGAGTAAACATGCTTAAGCTTTCACTGCAAATATATTTTCCTTTGCTAAGATAAAGCCACTTCCGCCCTGCAGAGGAGGTGGGATTGTGGGCGTCACAGCCCCACCACGCGTGCAGTGGCTAGAATCCCCGACCACTTCACCCCCTGGCCAGCCAATCTGCCGGCTCTGGGGGCGTGGCCTATTTAACGCAGGTGCGGCTGGAGATCTCCCTCTTTTCCCACCTATCAGCTGTTCCTGTTTCCCACCCTCCTGCCCTTTAAGGTTTTCGTTCCTTGACCTTGCTATGGACCTTGGTTGGTCGCCTGGTAGGAATTTTTCCACTTGGCAAATTGGCACCAGCCACTTAGTTTTATTTTTATTTTTTAAATAATATTTATTGATTTTCCAACCATTTGAACACAATAGAACAGAAAAAACAAAAAGGGAAAAGAAAAAGCAAAGAAAAAAAGAGAAAAAACATAAGATTAACAAAACAAGACACAAACCATTTAAAACACAAAACAATTTCAATATCTTAACTTTCATTCCCTTATCTCCATGACCTCCTCACGCCTCCCTTTCTGTATTCCACTTCTATTAATTGTTTCAGCAATTCCTTTCCATCTTCCTCTGTTTTCTATCCTATAATTATCTTAACATATTCTAATCTTATTTTTCCCTTTAATACTCTATTTCTATTTATACTTAATTCCTTATAACATTTCTACTAAAGCCATATAACTTCATTCCAACATTTTTCTAACATTCATTATTTTTACAATATTTCTATACATAGTCTTAAACTTTTTCCAGTTTTCTTCCACCGACTCTTCTCCCTGGTCTCGGATTTCTGCCAGTCGTTTCCGCCAATTCCATATAGTCCATCAACTTCATCTGCCATTCTTCCCGGATAGATAAATCTTGTGTCTTCCAGTACTTCACAATGAGTATTCTTGCTGCTATTGTTGCATACATGAGACAAATTCTATCCTTCTTTAACACCAATTGACCGACCATGCCCAGGAGAAAGGCCTCTGGTTTCTTCAAAAGGGTATATTTAAATACCTTTTTCATTTCGTTATGAATCATCTCCCAGAGTGTCTTAATCCTTGGGCATGTCCACCAAAAGTGAACTCTAATCCTCAAATTCGTCTGTTTTTCCTTAAATTCAGTCATAGCGAGCGTCAACTTATGTTCATCAAATTGCCTCTGTAGGGCTGGGGCTATCTCCTCTTTCTCTCCAGTTGTGTTTCTGTACCTTCAACAGCAACAGCTTTTTCCTTGACTTCCTCCACAGCTTGCCATATCAAAATAGGTTCTTGTATCAATTTCTGGGTGGTTTCTGTATTGGTATTGTCCATACTCCCTGCATTCAAGTCAACCTCAACAATTGAAACATCCACCTTCGCATTTATCATGTCCATTTTCCTGTGAAGCTGATCCAATGAGTCATTTATCTTATATAATGCAGCCACCAAAGCCTCTTCTGTCGACATTTCTCTTGGTTTCAAATATACTAGTACAAAGACAGCAACAAAAAGAACAGGAGGGCCTAATAATAGACCTCTCCTGGATTGTTACCAAGTCCTCCCAGACCTTAATGTTTTATCAACAGTTGACTGGTCTGTTTTTCCTCTTCCATTTACCATAACATTTGAAAGATTCAAGGTCAGTCCCAGAGTCTCACGGTTTTTAACTTGCAGCTGGAAATTCCCTAGTCCAACTCTTGTAAATCAACCAGTTTCAAAGGCTTCCACTAGGGGGAAACAGTTTCTATTTGTAAAAGTCAATAGTATCCTCTTTTAAACAATCCAAAGTTAGTTTCAAATTAGTTTCAATTTTCAGTTACTTTTACTCCTTTTTAAAGCAGCCGGAAACAGTAGAAACAATGTATTTCTCTTATTTAGCTAGCTGTCAATGAACGTTCTAAGCGCTGTCAATGAACATTCCAAAAAACATCAGTCTTACTAGCAGCCCGTTTCCAGGGTCAGAGCGGCGGTGTTTTAAGCCTCTTCGCTCTCTCCCGCAGGCATACTCAATCCGCAACTTCCCCCTCTCTTCTCCTGCCTCCAAGAGGGGGTTTAATGTTCTTTACCGTTGGAAATTTGATCTTTTACAAAAGACCTTCCAAGACTCCAGCTTGCAACTTCATTGCCTCAGTCTATTTACTTCCTGTTTTGAAACTCCCCGTTACGATACCAAATTAAACTTTTAGAAATCCAATTCTTCCGTTTCAACTCTACTCACGGGTAATTACTTTAAAGTCAAATTGTCCACAGGAAAAGGTCAGCGCTCTCCGGCAACAGCTATGCGGCTTCGCTCCGTGGAAGAAGCAGATGATTCGATGCACCGCGCCGCTCACCCCACGTCGCTCCGGAGCCCCAAAAACCGGGGTTCCCCGCGAGTGGGGGAGGCGCAAAAGGTGCCCGCCGAATCCCACGTTCAGAGGCTTCTCCCGCCTGTGATTTTAATGGGTCTCCGTCTTCGCCGTGGCGGCCAGACCCAGATTCCACGGAGCAGATTCCTCCCGGTCAGAGGAATTCTGCCATTACCGGAGGCGCCTCCCCCGGAAGTCTCCTTAGTTTTAGCCTACCTCATAGCAAATCGTCACAACTTTCTTGGTATTGGTGGTTAGGCATTGGTATTGGTATTGTTTTGTAGATGGAGGAGGGGAGGAAGCGCCATCACATGCCCCGCATATTGAAGGGTAGTCCAATAAAGGATTCCGGGGGGTGTGGCCCTGTCCGAAGCCTATGGAGGTGAGGGCCTAAGGCACGCCCCAAGCAGTGACCCCGGGGGAGTTCCTAGTTGATGCGCATCAGCAGGACTCCCCCTACTGGTGGTTAACCCTTCCCGGACTTCAAGCGGACGGGCTGAAGCCGTATATAGTCGGTTAGGACCAATGCCTAAGCCAATACCACTCATCACCTGTAACCAATAAAGTTGTGGTCTTATTTAGCCCATTAACCTTAATAATTGTGTCATGTGTCTTTATTTCCACTGGGGGGACGGGAACTCGCCACACAATGCATGGGGTACAGGTATTATACTGGTATGTTTGTTTTGCTTTTCATTTCCCCATCTGAAAAGCTTGTGGCCAGGAAACCATTGTTTCTTAAAAAAAATAATTGACTCATAAATTACGCTAAAATAAAACTGTGCAAACTTAAATGCATACTAAACAGAGTGATCCTGTCGTGTCCAAGAGATACCCTGCTGGGTGGGAGAGATTTTTCCTCCAACCCCAGGGAGGCTCCCACTGTTTATCAATAAAAGCAATTGGGAGCACAGACAGTTATTGTAATGAACACCAGGCTTTCTGCCCTAATAATTGCTAGAGCTGGCCATGTTCTTGTATCTCATGTGCTTTGTGAAAAGGGAGCTAGGACTCATATGGAGCCAGGACTCCCAATGGCTTTTGGTGATATATAGTGGGAGCATACCTGGGTTTGGAAGACAATCTATTCCATCCAACAGGATAACTCATAGAGCAGGCTGGAGAGAAACTTAAGAAAATTCCAGCGCAGCTTCCTTCAGTAGCAAGTATTGTTGCAATGATTGTACTGTTTTTCCAAGGTAGACATCATCATCGTTGTCATTGTCATAATCATAATTATAAATCAGATTTATAGCCCACCTTTCCCCCATCACTTGATGTGTACAAGTCAGAATGCTGCTTTGCCTGTTTTTTGTTTGCCTTAATGGAATCTGGAAAGTTCAGGTTCTAGCAAGCAAAGCAAGACAAGATCAAGTAGTAGAAGTTCAAATCCAGCTTTTAGTAAGGCAAAGCAAAATAAAGTTCTGATTTGAACATACTCAGGTGGCAGCATTTTGGACAATTCTGAGTGAGCAACTTGCCCTGTAAATGCTAGAGATAAACTGAGGGGTTTTTTATTTATTAAAAAAGTAATTTATTTCAGCCCATCCTTTCCACAACTCTACTGCTTGAGGATAAGTGCTTACTTGTCTTTCTTGGGCTTCACACCTGGCATGCGGGGGCCATGCAATTCCTCCTTAGGCTGAGTAAGGATCCTGGATTCAGCTCTGCAGGCTCCCGCCCTCCAGCCTCAGCATCAGGAGACTGGTTCAGTTCCCCAAGCTCAGGCCAGCTTCACCTTTGACATCAAGGCCTGCGTTTTGACAAGCAGTGGTCAAGTTCCAGTAGCTAAGTGCCATGCTTCTCCATCTGAAAGCAAAATGAACTCTGGCTGCATACATACCATACATTTAAAGCACATTGCTTCCCTCAAAGAACCCTAGGAACTGTAGCTTACCCCTCACAGAGCTACAGTTCCCAGTGCCCTTAACAAATGACAGTTCTCAGGATTCTTGGTGGGGAGGTTGCATACTTTAAATATATGGTGTGTACACAGCCTCTATCTGGCTCCTTGGCGAATTGCTGCTAGCGCAGAGGTAGGCAATGTGGCACCTTTCAGATGTTTTGGACTACAATCCCCATCAGCCCCAGGCAGCATGGCCAATGGTCAAGGAAGATGGGAGCTGTAGTCCACAGTCACCACAATGGCTATGTCTGTGCTGGACAATACTGGGCTGACAGTTGAGGACAGCTTGATGTGTTTATTTGCGTGTAATGTGAAATTCAGCCCTTGTATGTACAGAGCTGAAAATGCTCAAATGATGCCATCTGACTGTGAAAATGCATAGCCTTCACCCCGGCAAAAAAAGAGAGATTTGCTTAGGTAGTACCACAGAATCAGCTTGGTTTCCAATAGATGTATGACAAGAGAGAATATGAGATTATGGCAAGTTTGATTTATGAGAAGTGTTCTGTTTGAAAGCAGGATGCTACTCTGAAAATAAAGAGGGAAATAGTGGTACTGAAGCAAAGGAGTTGGAAAAATAAATTGAATGGCCATTAGAAATCATTTTTCACATCTTACTTACAAAGCTGAAATAATTAGCCCTTTGTGGGTTATCAGTCCCTTATAGTTTGGGTTACTTACTTATTTATTTATTTTTAACAGATGACAGGTAATTTGACAGCTCGTGTAGGAAGGTGTAATTTTTTTTCTCCCCTGACACATTCAAACTGCTAGTTATCTGCAAAGAAACACACAAAGGACCTATTTTTATACACTTGGCTCAGAAGCTCTCCATAATAAGAGTTCTTGTTTTGTACTCCTGTGAGGGATTGGTCTGAAGGGGAAACATGCTGCAAAGTCTGTGAGTCCACAGGAGGACATTTGACAAAGCTTGTCCATCGGATTCATAACCCGGTGAGTCACCCAGGCCTAAGAAACCACTTTAGCTCTAGTGGTCCAAAGGGAATCACCAAAACAGAGAGCCTAAAGCATGGCAAGTGGGGAGTGCTTTGAAGATTGCTTATCTGTTTCTTTAAAACAAAGAAGTGGTACATGACGCCACCTGCCCAGTTCATCCAGGAGTGTTCTAGTGTTCTCAGTACCCAGTACCAGAGGCTACCACCTTCCCAGACCCTCCAAGTGTCCCTATTTTCTAGGGACAGTCCTGGATTTACAGAAGCCATCCCAGTTGATCCCAGAGTGTCTCCCTTGCTTTAGAACGTTCCTGTTTTCATTGGAGAAATGTTGGAGGGTGTGGAGTTATGTGACCCCCCAAACCAAGGACATAAGTAACTATGCAACCTTTATAAGACATCTGAAGGCAGCCCTGTACACTTTTATTATGTTTTCATATACGTTGGAAGCCACCTACCAGAGCCAAATGGGTCTGATATACCCAGAGCCAAATGGGTCCTTGTGTATCATTGCTTCAGGAAAATTACACAGCCACTACAGTGCCAGTGGGTGAGGTGGTTCTCAGGCTGCCACACCATTGTGGCAGATGTTGGAGGACCCTTCCCACTGTTTCCTTTGGGTGCTAGGAAGTAGCAGTGGAGGTGAGTGCTGCAGGGTGGCTGAGCTTGTACCCTCTTGTGTTGGTGGACTACAGCTCCCTTCAGGGATGATGGGAATTGTAGTCCAACAACAACTGGAGGGGACCAAGTTGGATGCCGGCCTGTGTAAGTGGTTGAGGATTGGACGGTTACTTTGGAATGAGCACAGGCTATTCATGTCTTCTCTCTCCTCTATCTCACTTCTATGGTAGCTATGACAGCAGTCTCTTTCTTGAGCCAGGAATGGAGATTGGACAGAAGTTGGAAGCCAGCATCTGCAGAAGGGCACTTTGACCTCTTGCTCTGAAGGCATGGACAGCCAGTTTGCAAGCTGGCTCAGTGACTCTACATTGCCATGAATATAAAATATGATAACTATATGTGGCCTGAACAACTTTTTGTTTAAAAGACATCCATTCAGGTCCATTGTTTCCTCCTCCCCATTCTTCCCATTCCAGAACGGACCTCGCTCATTGAATGGATGAAGTACAAGCAGGACAAAGGGTCACAGAGGTGGCACCTGTTGTGGTATATAAAACTGAATCGACCCTTTGGGCTCCCATAATATTTTTCTCTAGAGATGCAGCAACTCAAAATCATAGTTCGCACAAGAGACCTCAAAGGTCAGTAAGTCCAACTCCTGTTGACCTCATAATCTGATTCCTCATATAAGCTTTCACATCACTTAATGGACTTCCAACAAGTTGTGGCATTAAGCTTAATTAAATTAGAACGGGAGCCATTAAAGCCATGAACACATTTAAGGATGTAGACCTATTGAAATTCATGGACCTAAATTAGTCATCGCTGTTAATTTCAGTGGGTCTACTCTGAATAGGACCAGCACTGGATAGTACCTTTATGTTCCTTGGCCTCATATTGTATTTCTGCTCTTTTTGACGTGTACTTCTCTGTGCTTTTTTTATTATATAAAAAAATAAATAATGCACCATTATTAAAAAATAATCACTTAATGAGAAGGCATATCTTTTTATTACTATATGCCTCAAAATAGGGAATAACTGGAAGTACTGCCAAAGTGCAAATCACTATTATGTATGTTCCCGCTGCCAGTTTTGGAAGCTTTTCCATTATGAATGAGCTAAGTAGCAATTACTGGAGGAATTACGAGGGAGCAGCTTTTTAAAAATTAAGAGCCTTGCCCTGCTCCTGTTTAAATGAATGGCCAGGCTCACTTTGACTAAATTGGCTGGACGATGCAACATATATTCATTTATGATAATGATATGTAAACATAAAGGCAATCTTTCAGCTGGAGAGTTATTGAACATGGACTGCTATTGCAACTACTTTCAGGAGCCTAATATAAAAGGAAGTGGCTGTAAAAAACTACACACACATGCACACAAGGACCCTGGCATTTTTTGGTTCAATATTTGTCACCACTAACCCCCTATTAAGTATTTTATGCCTACACATATTCCCCCCCTCTTGTGTGCCTGCACATTTTCCTTTCTGTACTGTAATATCCCAAGCAGAGCTGAAGGCATTAATTGAGAATAATGAAGAACTCAAAAATTAATTATAGATTACAAAACCGGATCTTAATATGATTGTAAGCGGAGCTGTCACCCATGAAAATGCATGGTGATCATTCCATTATTGTTAAAATCTATGTAACTCATGTCACGGCAACAATTCACCGTAGGTAATTTTTCCTCAACTGCTGTGTTACTGGTTTTTTTTTTTTTAAAAAAATGCTATTAATTAAATATCCAAAGAAATTATCTGTATTTAGTAACTACAGTAGTAATTTAAATGAGTTCACTATTCAAACAAAAGCACAACACTTCAATCAACTAGGCATACACTGACTTGGAAATAAGTCCCTTTTAAATCAGTGGGCCTTATTGCCATGCCAATATGCTAAGGACTGGGGTGTAAAAGGCAAGCAACCCTGATATTAAATTAAATCAAATATGTAAGCGTGCAGTACAGTAGTGTTCATTTCTAAACAGAAATCTCCCCTAAACAGAAATCTCCCCTGGGGGAGAAAACATTTCAAAACAGTGGAGGATTTCAAAAGGAAGCCAGTCATCTAAATAAGAGTAATCTAAATAACAGTGTATGACAGTCTGCTTGTGATGGGCAGGGAGAACATTCTGACTGTTAAAAATATTCCTTTCCTTGGTTTCTTTGGCAAGAGATGGGTGGAGATAAGAAAATACACTTGTGTGATGTTTTCTGTATTGGCCCCTTCTCTCCAGGAGATAATGTATTTGTGGAAGCATGAACAAATGGATCGCTGCGCCAGGCTTAGTTCCTGCTGTGTACCTTAGCTGGGTGCATCATCTGGTATCACGGACTCCGAAAGACATGGTTCTTTCTTGCTGAAAAGAGGCGCATTTCACAAAAGGAGAGCCAGCTCTGCTTCATGTCAACGTGTTTCCTATTCTTTCTCCAGCTGATTTAGGGTTCAGTTTAACGTGATTGTATTCCAATGGGGGAAAGCAATGAGTTGAACAAATTGTTCCCAGCTCCTGTGTACACTGTAGACCTTGCTTAGACAAAGGTCAGCAGTTACTCTATTGAAGAAAACTGACTGATCAGCATTTAATGCGGCAAGTAAAAACAAAGGAAGCTTGGGGATTTGTGTGTCATAACTCAGCACTGGGTGAGTAAGCAACATTTGCAGTTCATAATGGCCTCAAGCTCAGTTGCTTCCCTGCCCCCCTCCAACGTTTTATGTCCCAGACACTGCAGAAGGCCTAGAACAAACCCTCAGGGTGTAGGGAAGATGGTAGTGGGTTCTTTGGGGGAGAGTTACATACCCTTCTGTGGATTTATTTTTGATTCAGATTTGTCATGGCCAATGGCTAGCACAATAAAGTTATTTGGATCTTGTAATACCCTCCTGAATTTTCCAAATGAAAATAGGGGTGTCCTCCATACCCTCCAGCATTCCTCCAGTGAAAATAGGGACGTTCTGAGGAAAAGCGGGACATTTCAGGATCAAATCAGAAACCAGGGCGGCTTCTGTAAATCCATGACCGTCCCTGGAAAATAGGGGCACATGGAGGGTCTGGAGTCAGATGCATGTTATGGGAGTTCCCTCCTTCACAATTCACCAGACATACTGGGTGAAAGGGTAAATTGGAAAAAGGAAAGCTAAAATGAGGATGAATGGGAGAAATCAACAATGAGAAGTTAGGGTTCCTTTTCTTACATGCAGGCACACCCGACACTCTGGGAGGAACAAAAACAAACCAGAGCCTGAAACTGCGGAAGCATCCAGACAGTGTGTATTTGTCAGCTTTGTTTCCCTCTTCCATCCATTTATTTGTTTGCCTTTTTTCTCTCCCCACTGTCCAGTTATTTCTTCATCGGGGTCCAGTTTATGAGAAAATAAACTTTCCCTTCCTTAATTATGTTTGATGATTTATAGATTAAGAACCAGTATTTGAAAAAGAGTTACACAAGAGCTTATATCCACAACTGCTTTCCCTTGAGTTCAGCATAACCGTTCTGGTTGCAATATGGCAACATCCTTATGAATGTCTACGTGAGGGGAGAATTAATGTCATAGGCCAATGAATTCAGAAGTCTATGTGGTGTGCATTGAGTTGTAATCATGGGCCCAAAATAAGAGGCTAACGCCTAGCTGTCTCAATAGGAAGCAAAGAAGCTTATTTAAATCTTGTGAAGATTAGTGAAGAATATTTTGTATGCTAGTAGACAAGTAATTATGAGGAAGTGGGGGAATGTAACCTGCCTATTACTGTCAGCCTGAGTAACAATGATGCTTAGCTTAGCTGCCAGAAAGTGGATTGCATCCAGAGAATGTTTGATCGCGTTTTGTTATCTTTTATGTCCCAGTGATGCAATTTTTACTGATTCCTGTTATTCATCCTGTGTAGAAATATATAAACAGATCAAAGATGGATTTTAAAGTAATACAGTTAAGCAGATGAGTTTATTTCCTTGTTGTTGTTTTTATATATATATATACGGCAGGAAGGGAGGGGGAAAAGAAAAGGGTGGACTAAGAAAACCAAGGAGGAATTGCTCTTTTTGATCATCCTATGTCAGTATCACACAGGAGCATGTTTCTACAGTGTTTAAGAATTCTTTGCTCATTGGTCCTTCTAGTTCTTGACTTTATGTGAATAGCTAGACAGGGAAGGTCAAATGTGGTTTCCAAGGCTGTAAAATCAGTAAGCTGCCATCACACTGCAGTTCACACAGTCACCCATAGCAACTCCAGTGTGATGACAGAACAGGCAGATGAGAAATCAAGCAGCACAGGTGGCAGGTGGCCCAGGCGGGCTATTTAATGGAGGTTGGGAGGTACAACAGAGAGCAGCTTGGCTAACTGCTCTCTGAAGAACCTGACACTCCTTTAAAAGGGGTTGTGGGTTGAGGTGAGTGGTGAGGGAAGAGGTAAGCTGAGAGGGGAGGGAGATTAGGTAAACTGAGACAGAAGGTTTGGGCAAGATGTAAAGGGATGGGTGAGGTGTAAAGAGAGCAGGGGTTGATCAGGCGTGGGGAAGGTATGTGGGGTCAGTAAGCAGAGCAAGCATATGTGCCCCAACACACCCAATTTGGGAATTTCACTGGGAGTGTAGGAGCCACATTAAGAGCTTTCCCAGGCTAAGAAATATGCACAGAGCTGCCCCACCCCCATTCTGTAAAGTGAATGCACAAGCATTAAATCACATGTGAAGATCTCAGACTGAATGACAAGGATTTGTTGTTCTCATCATAAAACTGACCCAGGTAATTGTCAAAGAGCTACCTCAGCAGGCCTGCTGAGCCCTGAGGCCCCATCTGCACTATACATTTATAGCAGCATCACAGCACTTTGTACAGCCATGGGTTCCCCAAAAGAATCTTGGGAACTGTAGTTTATTAAGTGTGCTGAGGGTTGTTGGGAGACCTTCATTTCCTTTTCAGAACTATAATTCCCAGAGTTCCCTAGGAAGACGGATTGACTGTTAAACGATTCTGAGAATAGTTACTCTGTGAGGGCACCATTCTCAGCACTCTTAACAAACTACCGTTTCCAGGATTCTTTGGGAGAAGCCATGACTTTTCAAAGTGGTATGATGATGCTTTAAATGTATACTGCAGATGGAGCCTGAATCTTGACTGGAACCAACAAAGGACTAATCTTCTAATAATGTACAGTTGTACCCTGGAAGTCGAACAGAATCCGTTCTGGAAATCTGTTCGACTTCCAAAATGTTTGAAGCCACTGCAGCAAATCAGAAGCCTAGGAAGCCCCGTCGGACATTTGGGTTCCAAAAGAACATTCGCAAACATTCACAATCACTTCTGGGTTTGTGGTGTTTCGGAGCCAAAACATCCGTGTTCCAGGGCATTCAGGATCCAAGGTACAACTGTATTGTTACAAAGTAGGAAGACTAGCAATATATTACAAGTTTGTCTCCTATGACTGAGCACTCAGTTAACATTACAAGGCCTTTCTAGCCATGGTAGACATAAGTCGGCTGGGTATTAATAGAGATGGGCCACTGCTGACTGGATACCTGTGTAAGTCAGCTACCTAGGCTAGAAAGTAGATCTCATTCCTGACTGAATTGACTTGAGGGATGGAAATGTGTGGGTGTTTCTTTTTTTTATTCCCTGTAGCAATTTACATCTCCAAGAGAAATGTCCTCCTCTGCTCTCTTTTACAGATTTTTATCTCTAGCAATTTAAATCTCCTAGAGAAATGTCCACTTCCTCTGCTCTCTTCTAGGCTAGGACTTTGGCAGTCCCCCATAGATGCATGCAAAAGTTCCCAGTCACAATTTCGCGCACCTCAAGGTAGGGTTGGGAAACTCTTTAATCTACAATCCTGCCTGAACAGCCTCTGCTAGTCTGTAGCTAGATGAGCCAATAGTCTGACCTGGTATAAGAAAACTTCCTGTATTCCTGTGACCCATCAAGGAATAACTGTACTGTAAAAAATGAAGAAGTGGGCATAATAGCACTGATCTACTGTTATGTTTTGGAAAGTCCATTGTCCATCTGTTCTCTATGTGATCAAATGCCTATTGAGATATCATCACCATACTTGGCATGATGGTTCCTGAGATAGAGGAGCTGGTTTTCATCTGTATTTGGATACCATTGGGCACCATTTTGAGTCAAGATGTTGATCCAAACTATTCCAAACTGTACTGATTTGGACACTTCAGATGCTATCGTCACACAATTTAGCGTGGTTGTTCCTGAGATTGAGAAAGATATTTTAATCTATAATCTGGAGACTATTGGGTGCCATTTTCAATCATGATGGCAGGCCAAAATATTCCAAACTGCACTGATTGGGATGCCTCTGGAGATATCATCATCCAGTTTGACATTATAGTTCCTATATGAAGGAACAGGCTTTGGTTTAGATACTGTCAGGTGCCATTTTGAATCATGATGGGGTACCAAACTATTCCAAACTGCACTGATTTGGACACCTCTGAAGCTATCATCATATAATTTTTTTGCCTAGAGTATCCTGTTTCAAAGGTATTGAAACAATAATAAGCATGCCTCCTTTGAAGTAAACCACCCTGTGTTCAGTGAGATATACACAAAGGAAATGTGCATAGTGGGATAGGGAACCTAGGACCTGTGCCATTGTACTACAACTATTATAATACTGTACATGACCCTTGATTATTTTGGCTGGGGTTGATGGGAGTTGGAGTCCAATGTCCTTCAGAGGGCCACAGGTTCCCCAACCCTGGTGTATAGCATTGCAACCTAAGTCGGTTTTACAACTTCTCATTTTGTTTTGTTCAGCCTGAAGCACAAAGTGCTTCCACTACATATCCAGTTAGCTTTTCAACAAGTACCATCCACTTCATCACTGCTAGAGAAGATTAAAAGCAGGTCATTTATTTCTCACATCTATACTTTTCTCCTCCTAGCAAAATGAAAAGGCATGCATTTGAGCACAGACATCCTCAGAACCACATTGTTGCCTTTAAAAATTGAATATTTAGAGCATTTAACAAACCTGTGAGCTATCTGATAAATTCTATTGATCGACATACCAAAATTTATTTAGCCTGCTAAACGAGAAATATATCAAATGTGCATAAAATGTGATAGGAACATAGGCAAGGAAATTGTGGTCATGCAATATTTTTTTAAAGCAACCTGTGATTTACTTCAATTTCAGTATGATTTTATTTCTTCCTTGTCAAAAAGGTCAGGCTCATTTCTGTATCTCCCAGTGGTAAATACAGTTAATGTGCTGAGGCTGCAATGCATCCAGCATGGAGGTCATTTAATGGTGACATAAATTATTTTACTAGCTTTTCCTTCAAGTGGGCTATGAATCCATGTAGTATAAATGAATATCAGAGCTGTGATGCTGTTTCATCCTGCCAGGCAGGCTGAACTTTAGTGTTCCTTCTTTCAGTTGGGATGCTGCAGAGTGACAAAGACGATAAGAACTTTTGGTGGAGACAGTGGGATATTGCTATTTTCCCCCCCTTCATCTTATTTTTTAAAACTGATCTTCCATACTGTGTATTGAATTCTAGTATGCAAATGGATTTTTGTTTAAAAAAGTATTTACTTTCTTTTAAGCAGGAATAAAAAGGGACGTGGGTGGCGCTGTGGGTTAAACCACAGAGCCTAGGACTTGCTGATCAGAAGGTCGCGGTTCGAATCCCCGCAACAGGGTGAGCTCCCATTGTTCGGTCCCATCTCCAGCCAACATAGCAGTTTGAAAGCACGTCAAAGTGCAAGTAGATAAATAGGTACCACTCCGGTGGGAAGGTAAACAGCGTTTCCGTATACTGCTCTGGTTCGCCAGAAGCAGCTTAGTCATACTGGCCACATGACCCGGAAGCTGTACGCCCGCTCCCTCGGCCAATAAAGCGAGATGAGCGCTGCAACCCCAGAGTCGGTCACGACCAGACCTAATGGTCAGGGGTCCCTTTACCTTTACCTTAAGCAGGAAAAAGTTCGCAATTGAATGATTATTATTTTTAAGTAACACTTTATTTTAAGCAGGATAATGTTTGCAATTTGTATCGGTGTCAAGTTTCCATTTTTTTTAAAAAAAATATTTAGATTTTCAAACGTAACATAATCGAAAAGTAAAATATTGACATACCAAACTATCATATATTAGCGGCCTCAGTAACACGTATCACACATCTAAATTAACTTCAAGGCGGGGGGACTTTAAAACAGTTTTTAAGGATAGCTGTGTTAGAAACTTTTCCATATGCTACCACAAAGGCCTAATCTGAAATGGGTCACCATTTAACAAGACTTATGAAAGCTTCTTTCAGTTCAGTTGAGCTGTAAGGTCCGAGTGGCTCTGCAAGATATCATGGGTGTTCAGGGGGCGGTGGATGTTGGCCTTTGTCTTTTCTGCTGGTTTCACTTAAGTGCCCACACATAATAGAGATTTCACTGAGTGTAGGAACAAGGGACAGAAAGGTCACCTTCTGGAGGAGTTCTTCTGAACAGTTGGTAATAAGGGTTGAGCAGTTTGGGGACGGGACCATGACAGGCTGCTGTGCTCGAGACTAAATAGAACTCTCAAAAGTACCTTGTAGTTTGGGATGTCATGCTTGTGACCGTTATTAATAGGGATGGAAGTTCTAAAATAGCTATTTAAAAATCTACGTTCTAACCCAGGGTGACTGCTTTTAGGAACTCTGAGGCTGGATCCTGAGCAACGTAATTTGTACTCTATTGGAGAAGATGTCAGTAATGAGCTTGGTTTTCTAACACACCATGTTAAATAATCTTTCTTGTATGGGCATATCAGTGCTGTTTTTGTTTACCTCCATTTAGTTTTTGGTTTTTTAGAGTGTCCCTTGCTGGGATTCTTGCTTCCTATGTTTATTGTTGTTTTATTATGATGGTGGTTTGATGCATTTTGTGGTTTTGTATTGGGTTGTTTGATATTTTATGGTGTCTTGAATTCTTAAAAAAAAAAAAAGCAGGATATGAGTTTTTTTTAAAAAATGGTGGCCCTAATATAGTTGGCAATCACAGAAAAATCAAAGGGTGATTCAAACTCCTTCATAGGTGCCAACTAGCACCCATAGTGAGCGATGGGTGTTGGTTGGCACCCATGATGCATGGATCATTTACAACATATCTGCTTGGAAAGAGAGGACCAGGTGAACTAATTATTTGTTCTGATCCCTAACAATTTATATATTCAGGAGGCATTGACCCAAACAAGATGGTGGAAGCATTCTCAGAACTACACAAGATGGTTTCATGCTTTTGATCATGTGGTTGAGCTTTCTGGTAAATAGTAATAACTGGGGGGAGGGCAGAATTCCATCCCTCTCTTCTGCTGGACAAATTAAAGCCACATGCTGTGGCCACACAGCAAGGTTTGTTACACTCTTCCCTCTTTGCCCCTTACGTATGAATCTGACATGCACCATGTTCACCCTGTAGCCATCCCAAACTACCATAGGAATTACTGCAAATCCTATTTAAATTCCCTCACCTGCCCAGACAAAATGTAATTTGGCCCAAATAGCATGCCTATGGTCACACAGATGACACCAAAGAGTGTGGAGCGCAGGTGAAAACAAGGAGACCCAGGGCCAATGAAGAGCTCTCCCCCAAATTCCTACTCAGTCCCCCTCCAAAAGGGTGAATAGCAATGCCCACACTGCAAAGGGTGGGATAGCGGGTGCCAACCAAAGGAAAGTGGGGGCAGGGCAGAGCTGGCTTAAGTAGCCTGCTCTCTGCCTCTTCCCTATTGGACAATGCAGCCCATGTGTTTGCCTCCCCCAGCCTAACCATCTCTCCTGTTCTTCCAGCACCATTGCACCAACTCCTGCCACATTATCAGTTGTCAGTGGGAGAGTGGTATAAAGAAAGGGATCAACAGGTAACTCTTTGGCAATCTATTCAAGGGTTACTCACTTGGTATCAATTGTGTGAAACAAATATGTTCTTTTTTTAAAAAAATCGTGATTATTGTACACAAATAGCTGTTCAATCAGAGGGCTGTTCCAGGAGTGTTCTGCTTATGGCTTTAACAAGTAATGCATTCAGTAAACAGCACGTTTACTGAATCTCTGTTCAGAAAAAGATCACCTCTTAGGAAGCATTATATCTTCCACTGAATTATTACAAACGTAATTTGATGCAATTATACTTTCAAATTATACTATATACCCCGATTGTGTTTGCTTTGTATATTTACATGAACTAGGCTAAGGATGAGTTTATTATTGGGTTTCAGAACAGTAATTATAACGTAGTTATTTCATCCAACTTCTAATGAAGCTTACAGTCAGGCAAAGCCGATGGAACATTAACATCAGAGTGCAAACACTCCTTAAAGCAATCCACAGGAAAGGATCAATCAGTGTAAAAAGTCACAGCCTTCACGCGGTATCGCTGTGCTCTGATAGTCTCTAAAAATGAATTCTTAAGGATCATTTAACAAGGACTGTTTATCACTTAATATACAGTAACCATTCTGAATACACAATCATGGCAGTTAAAAAGACGGTGGAAGAAAGTTGCATTTTAATTATTATTTTTACCTTTTTACCACTATAGAGTGGTAGTGAACAGAGAACCAGGGTGAAATTATCCCGGGGCCCTCCAGATGGGTATTTTATTACAGGTGTCTGCTCTTTGACACCCTAATGGTGCATTAGTGATGGATTTCTTCTGCTTTAGTTTGTTCTGTGATGCTTTCCCAATGCTACCACATTGGTGGCATTCAGGCATGGGGTTTGTCGCATTAGTTTTTCTGGTTATATTGCTAGCACTGCTGTCTGGACTTTGAACATTCCAAGTGTTGTTGGACTACAATTTCATTAGCCCCAGCATAGCAAATAGTGAAAAATAATAGGAAGCAGAGTCCAACAATATCTGGAGGGTATCCGGGTGGCTACCCCTGCATTATAGCCTGCCTATCCAACACCTAGAGCTACAGACAGACACAAAAAATTAAATTAGTTCCTCTGCAATCTCCTTTTCCTCCTTTAGCACACCTTTCAGTCCCTTGTCATCTAAAGGTTCAACCTATTCCCCAGCCAGTTTTCTGCTTCTGATTTATTTAAATACTTTTTGTTATTATTGTAATTGGTCCTAATGCTTTTAGCAGTATGTTCCTTGTCTTGAATTATCCCCCTCACTGATCTCTCATTGTCCACTTGCATTTCTTTCGTCCACCTGCATTTCTTTTGTGTTCCTTTTTGCCCTCCACATTTGGGCAAGATTTCCATTTTCCGAAAGAAGCCTTCTTGCCTCCAGATGCTTCCTTGATTCTGCTCCTTAATGACATCCTGTTAGACCTTTCTGCTCTGTTGTATCTGATCTTTTTCTGTTAGGGTTTTAATAACCCCTAAGCATTCTGGTGAGATTTGACCCTCCTGACTTTTCCGGGAGTATGTCCTAACTGAATTCAGTGGGACACCACACCTCTGAGTAGACATACTAGAATGGTGCTCTTAAGTCTGTGTTAGAATATGGAAGAAACACTGAAGCAGCTTCAAAATAAATGGAAGCGGTAACAATTGGTGGCAAGTATCTATTATTTGTCATTTCTGACCAGAAAGCATTGCTGTGTCTGTCATGGGTGTAGCCAGGATTTTTGTGGGGGGCATGCCTTTTGTTGTGGGGGCAGAACCTCAGTTAGCTTTGTATTTATTTATTTATTGGGGGGCAGCTGTCCCTCCCTGCCCCCCTTGGCTACACCCATGGTCTCAGTGGTGGGAAACCTGGGGCCTTCCAGAAGTTATTGGACCCCAACTCCCATAATGTCTGACCATTGGCCATGCTAGCTAGGTCTGGAGGGGTTTTGATTCCAACAACATTGGGGAGGGGGGGCAGCACAGGTTTTCCACTGCTACACAATTTGCTTCAGATAGCATGTATATATTACCTGTATATACTTTGAAAGGAATGCCTCATTGCCTTGCCTATCACAACCTAAGCAGAAACTCTTTTAGCACGATCTTATTGAAGACATTAAGCTGGGGGACATCTCCATACTTGATTAAATGGGGAGACAGAAATGGCCATTTCACTTTGCTGGTAAATCGTTTTGCCCAGCTTTGACACAATAATTTGCTTAATTTCTTAATGCGCTTCTACAGTTCAGACTGCGCTCCCAGCTTTTAAGTGCCATCATTAAATTCTCATTTCAAATCAATGTACTAGTTGCACATTGCTGGGCAAACAAAGTATTTAAAGAGTTTTCCCCATAATGCAAGGTAATTGGTGGATCCTCAGCAAGGCCCATGAAGTTGCAGTTGTCTTTGCCAGTAGAAGGCCAGCAAAAGGAGGGGGAGTCTAGAAAAGACTCATTTGCTGCCAGTATCACAGTGTTTGGCCTGGAAGTCAGCTGCCCTTTACAGAAAGAGCCTGAATAAACCAGCAGCACAAAACACAGCTGACAAGGCCCAGCAGCTGAACAAATGGACAAGTATGTAATTTAGCTCAGCCTTCCTTTTGGGGTGTGTGTGCTTAATTAATGAGGGTGATACAAAAGGGTGGTAATGAGTAATGAGTACTGAGTGTCTGTGAGGTCAGTTAAAGATCATTTTTGTGCACACAATGGCTTCATTTTCGACTAAATCTTTCAGCCTATGATAAAAGAGCTTACCTTGAGAGAGTTCAGGGAATTGAAAGCAGAACAGGTTTTTTTTTGGGGGGGAGGGGTATTCAAAAACATAAGAAAAGAAAAGAGGGGGGATTGATACCAAATGGGACAATGAAAAGATATGAAGCAAAGAGAGATAATCTGTTGGGTGCTTGTGAAGAGCAAATGGGAAAGTATGGTGACGTGAGATACAAAATTATACAATAAACACCTGGTCTTCAATAGATGAGCCATATTCCACAACTGAATCACACTGTATTGTAAAGTCATACCATTTATACCAACCTTTTTTGTCTCTCTGTTTACAGATTTTTAAGAGAAGGAAAGTTCTCATGATTAAAATTAAAAGTAGTTCTCAGGATTAATTTTTTTTAAGACTACCACAATAAAAACATCAAGTTAAAGGAGTGAGCATAATAATATGTTTTGGAATTTTTGCTCCCTATTTTTCTTGATTTGTTATTTTCTTTCTTTCTTATAATTATTGTCTATGTCCCCTCCCCCCCCCTTTGTCAGAGATGTAGTTGTTTTGAAGGGATCAAGGCAAACTCATAGAATTGTAGAAAGGTAGATTTGGGAGTGACCTGAAGGGTCATCTGGTCCAACCCCCTGCAATGCAGGAATCTAAACTAAAGCATCCATGTCAGATGTCCATCCAACCTCAGAGATGGCCATCCAAATGGTCTCAGAGCTGCAAAAAGGAAACCATGGTTCCAGACTGACCTCATCGCTTCATATTATAGCATTGTGCACAAAATACCCAACAAAGGGAGGCTATTTTAGTTCCCTGCTGTGGTGAATGTTTCCATCTGGTTAGGTATTCATGTGCACTCATTTGCAGTCAGAGTACGTGATAAGGATAGACTCCACTCAAGATCTGAAACAAGGTTTGCCACATGAAGACAGCCACCGAAGGCAGCAACATAGTCGCTATTATGGTTATTCTGGCCATTTTTGGACTACACTTCCCATCATCCCTGATCATGGGCAGTGATGACTGGGACTGATAGGTGCTGGAAATCAATAGCACCTGGAGGGACACAGATTCCCTACCCCTGTGTTATGAAATCACACTGTTTATGTAATGGAATATTAAAGATCGCAGCTGCACAAGCATTTTTCTATGCTGGGAAGAAAGGTGAGAGCAGCATAATGATTCAAAGCAATTCCAATTCATTTCAAATGCAACATGCAAGTGATCGTGATTTGTTCACGCTGGACCATTGTGCTCAACAAGGTGTCCTGGACCTCTGCTGAATATTCACGGGAATTAAGTTTTTTGACCACTAGAGGGCTTCCATATTTTTATTTAAAGCAATAGAAACACAACATGGGGCATAAGTGTAAATCTCTAAGATGACTGTATGCAGATATACAGGATCTACATTATCGAAGAAATATATATTTCAGTGACTAACATAGCAGAACTTTTAAATTCTTGCAGCAAAACATTTTTGCTTCTGCCTTCATCAGTTGCTCTGATTAAGATGTTGCTGTTTCCAAGGTGGCAGTTACAGTGTGTGTGTGTGTGTGTGTGTGTGTGTGTGTGTGTGTGTGTGTGTAACATTCTCTCTATCATTATGTTGCCAGTATCTTGCAAATGAAACAGTAGCTATAAACATCTATTTACTATGGGAATCCTAATGGAAAAGCTAGCAAAAAATCAGAACAAAGTTGTCAGAGGAAATAGTTTAAAAAATTTAACATTGTACATGAAATTTAAATAGCAATACATAGGATAGTTTGTATCATCAAGTCTCAGTAGCATATCATCAAGTCTCAGGAGTTCCACAGGTCTGGGTATAAATTACTCAGGTTTGAATAGAAGTTCATCTCTTGCTTTGGACGCATGGCATTTTAGTTTTGTTCCACCCTTCATCATTGCAGACATTTATTTCATTTTTTAAGACCTGGATCTGACAGAAGATCATGATTGCAATAAAAATCTAGGCTGAGTTTCAAATTGGTAAGAGGCAGCACACTTAGTACTACACAGTGTAGAAGTCCTGAAATATAGATAGCTTCTCATCTTCCAAATGCTCCCAAGCTCAGTCCACAACCACCATAGTGTGCTTACAGCCTAAATGTGTTTAATTTGCTCAAATTGAAGGTTGGAAAGGGGGGGGGGAGAGAGAGAGATTATAGTGCCATTCTAACGGATATGATACTAACTGAAGGTTTGGGATGTGGGAGTATAAGAAGTTAATTGGTAGCTCTTAACATAAGCTCTTGCTTATTAGACCCCCACCTGATCTATACATAAGGGAAAGGGCATCTGAGGTTTAATTGGGTGAAAGGAGAAGGGATGTGCAAGGAGATTTTATGTTTGGTTCTGAATGCTTGATTATAGCCTGTGTAAAAAGACTTAAGAAGAACTGCATCCCAGTGGATTTAGTTGGCTTCCTAGCTTTGTGCATCTCCATTTTCTTTTTAATGGACCTAAAGGGGTTTAATAACTTGATCTCATAAAATTCAAGGGGTGGCTGAAGATTTTTTTGCTGGACAGGTATAGAAGCTGACCTGGCTACTAAATATTACATCAAAACTGGTGATGGGACATGACCTCTTCAGAACTTGTGGGCAGGAGGCTAGCTCAGGTGGTCCCACAGCAGACACTACTCCATCTTTACTACCGCTTCCGACATCACTGCATTTGTTGCCTGAGGCAGCTGCCTCATTCTGCCTAAATGGTGGGGCTGGACCTGACAAAACTGATGTCCTGAGGAAGCTGTCCTGCTTCACGTATGTTACTATTATTGTTTGATGTGAGAGGAAAACCATATTTCAGATGCCTTTGGTAACTGTCCTTGCTAGAATTACAGAATACTTTGCTATGATATTTCAGGGACAGAATGGATCTTGCAAATGCTCTGTTGAGCAAAGTGCTGAAATGCTATAAGCATAGAAAAGGTACAATAGGCAGTTTTTCAGACAGTGTGAGAATGGCCTTCCGTACAGCCTAGTATTGCTTATTATGAGGCTATAGGGTGGGAGGGATGCACAATGGATGTTTACAGACCAGTTTCACAACTGTACCTTTAAAAGGGAAGGAATCTCAGATACTATTTTTAGCCGGTGCCAGCTTCATTATATTTTAAACTGAAAGACAGATGAATTGCCTTGAGAATACAGCAAGAGGTTTCTTGGAAGCAAAGCTCAAATGGCCACATTATTCATGGCCCAAAAACTATAGCTGGTGAATCCAGAATTGCCATGAACCTGCCCCAGGGGCTTGTGGTGTATACTGTGTCAAAGACCAAATGAGGCAGCTAACAGCTTTTTGCTCAGAGAAGAGGCAGAGCTAGCAGGCTGGATCCAGATTTAGGTTGCAATTTTATTCTCATTTACCTGGGAGTAAACCCCGCTGAAATGAGTGGAACTTACTTCTGAGTTTATGTTGTTAGGATTCCAGCCTTAGTCATGCTTAGGGTAGACACATTGAAATGAACTAGGTATGTAATGATTAGGAATGGGCAAATCTGTCAGTTCTTTGAACTTCTCGTCCCCCCGCCCCAATCTTCAGTTCATTCCTCCACATTTCCTCATCAGTTTGCAATGCTTTCTCATAAAAATTCTTAAGTGTTTGAATTCCTCCTAATATTCACATTTTTGTATGCAGTTTTGCCTAACAAACGTAAATTTTCAAAGAAATTTCCCCCTATACAATACATCTTTTAAATGTTATTTTCTCCAATATATGCATTATTATTCAAACTTTGTCCTAATGTATCCATTTTTGCACACAGGAAATCTCCGGAGAACTGGACTGCATAATTTGAAGGAGTGCATATATTTCAAAGGGTGGCTGTGTTTTGGTTCCCGTATTATTTCAGGATGTGCAAATAAGGTAGGTTCTCTTTCAGTGTGAACTGAATTGTATTTTCCATACCCTATAATGGTTAGGTCCCATTGATTTCAGTGGGTCTACCTTAAGCATGGTGGTGTCTGGTTCCAATGGAATAGGTAATATCAGAGTAAGTAATACTTACATTGTCTATCACCCAATGTTTTTAATAAGGCTGGAAATCATGGCACTTTTTATTTTAATCAAGCAGTCAACCTAGTAACAAACATTGAGTCAAGTTATTAAATAACTCATACAACATGAAGTCAATAGGTAAACTGTGTCAGTTTATGTTGCACATCACACCAATCTCAGAATGACGCAATGTTCCAGGGACATACCCAGGGTTTACATTTCCTTTGGGAATGAGGCAGAGCAGAGACTGTGGCGTCTTTTTTTTTTTAAAGATATTTATTGAAATTTTCAAAATGTTACAAAAAATAAAAAAATAAAATAGAAGCCGAAGAAAGTACAAAAAATAAAAATAGTTGACAAAGTAGGAAAAGAAAAGAAAAGAAAAGAAAAGAAAAGAAAAGAAAAGAAAAGAACAAACCCCTTCCCACCATATGAGAGAAAATTCAAAATAAGAGAAAATGACAGAAAAAAAGAAAAATACAAAAATCACAAACCTTTAAAAATATTTAAAAAACAAATTCATTATTTTCAAATCCTTAACTGTCATTGCCTTCTTTCTTAGACCTCCTCCTCCTCCCTTTCTTTGTATCCTAGTTATTAATTATCCCAGCAAATCCTTTCCATGTTTCATAAAATTCTGTCCTTGCATTACCCTAAACTATTTTGATCTTATCTTTCTATAATAAAATAAACCTTAAAACTTAAAACTTAAATCTTATCCTTACCAACTTCTCATAACCATAATATTCTTTCATAATTCTTTAAACATCTTTGCTAAAGCCAAGTAATTTCATTCCAACATTTTTCTATCATTCATCACTTTTATAAAGCAGTTCTAATGGTAGAAAAAAGGGGTACAAACAGATCCACTCTTCATCCAGCGTCCCTTCCTCCTGGTTCCGGGTTTTGTCAGTCCTTATTCCCGTCAATCTAGCCCATTCACCTGGCAACCTTATATCCGAGGCCCTCAAGTCTCTTCCATGTCCCTTCCGTGGCTCTTTTTCATATTTGTAACTGTATTTTCCCTTGTCTCCTGCTCGTGGTAACTCCAGCTTGACAATGTTTTTAGCCCTTCTCGACAAATCAGCCCCTTTTCCATGTTCAACACTAAATTCCATGTAGTATTTAAAAGCATGTTTCAAAGACCCTCCAAAATTGAGAGCCCCCACAGTCCCAAACATCTCACGGCCCGTTGCCATATTTGAAAAGTCCAAACGTCCCAGCATAGGGTCAATCCAGCCCCCCATTTCCAAACCAAGCCAAACTTTTCCTTTCCAAATCTGGCTTTTCCAAGTTCATTTGTCAAATCCGAAAAATCATATTCCTGTTGGGCCTGTTCTGTCAAAACACACTCCTGATTTAATGTCAAAAACTCCTGTTCTGTCAAGACACTCTCCTGATTTAATTCCTGAGTGGGCTCCACATATTTTCCCACTGTCTGTTCAAAATTTCCCACTGCCTGTTCAAAATTTCTAGTCGAAGTCGCCATCCAATTCACCTTCTCGTGTAATTGTTCCAGTAGGGCATTTGTTTTATAGAGAGCACACAACAAGGCTTCTGAATACATTGTCCTGCAAGGTCAGATGCCTGTTCCCACGGTTGTAATCTGTAACCGCTGCCGGCTCCCTGGAGTTAGTTACAGTTTCACAGTTACAGTTTCACAGACTCCCCCTAGGGGAAGACTTCTATTTGTTCTTGCAACAAAGTTTCCTTTTTTAAGATACTTTGTCCATATATATTCCTTTAAAATGCGAAAGGGAACAGTGGAATCACTAGGTTTCTCTTCTTTTAGCTATCTGTCAGCGACACTTGTCTTTGGTAAATGAACTTCAAACGTCAGTCCTGACACCCCGCTCCAGGATCAGGACGGAGGAAAGTTACTTCACTTTAAAGTCACTTTAAACAGTCCAAAAAGATCACCCCCTTCTCCTGCTGTCGAAGGGGGGTTCCACAATTTTAAATGGTGAAATCCAATCTTTTAAAAACGATTTTCTGAGCTCTAGTTTCAATTGTCTTTGCTTTATTCTGTTTACAAAAGAACGGAAGGTTGACTTCCTGTTTAGACCTTTCCGTTCCGTACCAAATTAGAGTAAATTTTTAAAATCCAATTCTTTCCTGCTTGCAAGTCCTTATTTGATGTCCAATTGTTCAAAGTCTACGTACTCACGGGTGCTTATTTTAAAGTCCAAATTGTCCCAGGAAAAAAGGCAGCGCTCTCCGGCAACGGCTATGCGGCTTCACTCCACGGAAATAGCAATTGACTCACAGCACCGCGCCACTTCCCCCTCTTCACTTCGGAGCCCGTTAGTGGGTTCCTTAGCGGGTTGGGGGGGCGCTAAAGGTGCCCGCCGAGTCCCATGGTCACAGGCTTCATCCGCCTGTGATTTTTAAGAGGGTCCCCGCTTCGCCGTAGCGGAGAAGACCCGTTTTCCGCGGAGCTAGTCCCCCAGTTCAGAGGGAGTCCGCCATTGCCGGTGGCGCCACCCCGGAAGTCCTCCAGAGACTGTGGTGTCTTAATGATATATGGTTTACACATATATACAACCTGAACCTGCAATGGCGGGATTCACAGCATTAACACCCCAAGAGGGTCTTGCTTTTCCCATGGCCACAGCTTTGGATTCAAATGGAAATCAAACATTGCTCTCAAATGTTGCTTTGACTCTCTCTCCAGATTGCTGCTTTACCTAGGTAACATCACTGTAAACACTCAACTCTCACCTTTCTCTTTTTCTAACTACCAGCCAGTTGAAGGTGATGGTGGTACCAGCTGTCTCACCCAGATCCGCTTCCTTTGTTCCCTTAATGGCCCACCACCCAGGCCATCACCTCAACAGGAAGCTAGCCTGGCTATTCCAAGAATTAGAAGGGGGGGGAGGCATTAGAAGGGTCTTGGCCTACAGCCTACTCCCACCACCCAAACTCATAACAATAAGCAATCAAATAAGCTACCCATACAGTCAGCAAAGTAAACCAGTCCCAACATGTTTGGGCTTGCAGTTATTACTCATAGCATGTTAAGACTCTTCTGTTGTCTCCTTCATCTGTGTTTTGTTACACCAAATTCTTTCCCAGGTGCCTTCAGGTTCACTGACCCAGTTTTCTCAATAATAACTAATAGACCCTGTTCAATGTGGCTTCTTCTTTGATGCAAGCAGCACCTTGAATTAAGGCTGTGAGAGAAGAGATGAAAGGTCAACAAAGGTTGCTCCTGATTTGTTCCATGCCAGTTTGTCCCTGTGGTCCAGTAGAAGCTAATGCCTTGGTTTCCCCTTTGCTCACTCACTAAGACAATGGAGCAACAGAGCACTTGTGAAGAAGGGATGTGCCCGCTGTTCTCTGGCCAGATAGATAGCACTTTGATATTTGGATCAAAAGTCTTGCTTTCAAGGGGACAGAAGTTATTTCCCGGGGAGGGGGGGAGAGGAGAGAGAAGCCTAAATGGAGAGAGATTTCACCTATGTCCAATCCTGTTCTGTGTCATTGTCTCCTGTATCTGCTTTAGCACTATTCTAGCCCATTAATGACAACACTGTAAATAAGATAACAACACAGTGCCATGTAGCTGGCTAGCCAGATTTGGTTGTGTGATGAGACTGGTGGCAAATAAAGTCCACCATGAATGATGGCAGTGCTTCCTGGATCAGTCCTATGCAGCCAACTAGAAATCATACAGGATGGTGCCACAACTATTTGCAATGTCACTGAAGGCAAACAAAGTGCATTCAGACAATGCTTCCTGAATATGAAACTAGTTTTGATCATTATGGCAGCTGTGGAGAGGCAGCTGGACTGGACAAACTGGAAGCAATGCCTGTTTATGCAGTATGACTTACTGGTTCATGTACAGATGATTACTGCCCACTCCCCTACATGCTTATTCATTTTGAAGATGCACATGTGGTGGAGCATATTTGCTTTCTGTTTGTGCAGAGTAGGACCCATTCCAACAAGTTCAAATGATAAGAAAGGAGATTTCAGCTAAAGATTAGGATGGTATGAGCTGTTTAACAGTGAAGCAATCTGTGTCAAAAGGAGACAGAACTTTTTAAGCAGACCACTGATGACCACCTCTCGGTGATTTAGTAGCGGTGGCTTTTCTGCCTAGGTGGGTGCTGGACTAGATGACTTTTGAGGCTCCTTCCAACTCTATGCATCTATGATTGTACTGGGAAATACTCCTTAACTACAGCATGCAATTTGTAGCTTATTTCCAAACTGTAAATTGGATGATTTTTAGTGTCAATCTTATGTTGTATTTATTGTATCTCTTGCATACCTCCTATATATCTCTTTTATCGCTTTAGTTGAAGGGCATTTTAAAAATATAACAAATGAAAAGTAGTCTGTCATACTTGCTCAGGACTCTTTTTCTTTTTCTGTTTAGGTTAGGGTCCTTTGGTCACCATCTCCCTTTGCCATAATGCCCTTGTGTGACTTAAATTATCTGCACTTGGACAGCGGAATTCTATCTGTCTTTTACTAAAAAAAAAACAACCTCCACTGAGTTATGTGACACTTCTAAGAAAAGATGCTTCTGACTATAGCCAGAGAGCTCATGGTCCATAGCATCTGTAAAGATAGATAGATAAAAATCCTGCACATAAGAGTCATGATATCTTTATAAAACCCTTTGCAAAAATTGACTCTGTTCACAGCTAGGAGTCAGGGACATGTCACAACAGCATAGGAATTTGCTGTTATTTCTGTGGCATGTTGTTTTCCTCTGTTCTCTGTTCCCTTCACTCCTGGCTTTTGTACAACACCCAGGTCCATGTCTCTGAACATCTGATCAACTGTAGTACTTCTTAGTCACGCACAGTTTCTTATAGAATGGGAAGCTTGCATGGCAGTCTGGATAGGTTTGGCTATTCCTCATGGATGAGCATCCCTCTCTTTTTCCCCTCTGATGCATTGTGAGCATAATGTGTCCTGTCCTGCTGCCAATACATCCACAATAGATGGCACCACTTCTCTGCATACAGATGCGCAGGAATAATTCCTCCCCTGTTGCAATTATTTACTCATTTCTTCTAAATTCTTTTGCCTTCTTGCTCCCTGCCCCCAAGAGAAGAGATGCATTGGGAATTGGACCTATTGTGATTTCTGAAATGAAATGGCCTGATTTGCACTTCCCAGAGTCATGTGTGGATCAGGTCACAGCTCTCCATGAGATTCTGCACTTTTTCTGAATGTTGCAACATGATTCTTAGAAAGAAAAGATAGATATTTAAATACCGGTAATCCAATGCAGATATATATATAATTTAAAATCCCAATGCAGATCCAAGTGGAGATGGGAATGGGTTCATGGTGCAAATGTGTGAAAATGACCATTACTGCAAATAGTATCTGTCTATCCCTGTTTAATATACAACAGAACTTAATTTAAATCACCTAGACAACTTGAGTTATGATCATCACAGGGACTGGATCCTCATGCCTGGTCCTTCTGGCTTTTTAAGATCTACACATATTGCCTTGCTGTACTGAGTCTACTCCCTTTCTTAGTGTTCTGCCCCTTCATTTGCTTTGATTTGCTATCAAGTTAAATGCAAAAATATATCCTGAGGAGTTAGCACTGGGGAGAAGAGTGGCTGATGAAAGCACTGTGCTCTGATTTTTAAAAAAAATAATGAAATGAAATGGTACAATTCAAACTTTGTACAATTTAAATATTGTTTCAGAAATGAAACTGTTTTCATTATGCATGCACGTGAAGGGATGGTGTGTGCCCTGATGTGCATAATAAGCTTCAACATAATCAGTTTTATCATGTACTTGACAAAGTAGGCTTTAGTGCACAATAGCTTGTGCCATAGAACATTTGATACATACTGTGTGCATTTTCCCTATGAGGAAAGGTTGCAGCATTTGGGACTTTTTAGTTTAGAGAAAAGGTGAGTAAGAGGTGACATGACAGAAGTCTATAAAGTTATGCATGGCATGGAGAAAGTGGCCAGAGAAAGATTCTTTTCCTCCCTCTCATAATGCTAGGACTCGGGGACATCCAATGAAGCTGAATGTTGGAAGTTTCAGGACCTATAAATGAAAGTACGTCTTTACGCAGTGCATAGTTTAGCTACAGAGTTGGCTCTCACAGGACACAGTCATGGCCAGCAATCTAGATGGCTTTAATGGAGAAGTAGACAAATTCAAGGAGAGTTCAATCAGTGGCTACAAGCCATGATGGTTGTATTCTGCCTACACAGTCAGAGCCAGTAGTGTTTCTGAATGCCAGTTGCTGAGAACCATGGCAGGACAGCGTGCTCTTGTCCTTGTGTCCTGCTTGCATCCTTCCCACAAGCATCCTTCTGGCCTCTACCAGAACAGGATGCTGGACTAGATGGACCATTGGCCTGATCCAGCAGGTTTTTCTTATGTTCTTATGATAGGCAACAAAAATAACCCCTCTTAAGCCACCTTCAGAACTTCTCCAATCATTTCAGTGAATGTATGGGAATGATAGTGAGATTTTACTCACTACTCATGCTCCTTGTTCACAGTTGGGTGAAGGTGGCCGATATGCATATAGATGCTATGGTTTCCACTTCATTGGAGGTGGCCTTCATGCATCTGTTTATATGGCAGCCCCCTACAGGCTACCACTGAATATGTGGCCATCAGGCTGCATCATCCATGGATGAGATCCTTCTATCCCTTCACATGTTCATTGAATCCATAGGCTGGGAAATGACTTTCATTGAACTTAGTGGGTCTGAATGTTTAGGACTTCTCTCTTTGTCTGTTAGATGCTGTTACTATTTTTGCTGCATGAGAACGTGGCTACTGTTTTGGAACTCATGACATTACTCAAGGCTCTTCTGTGTGTGATTCCAAGCCATACTCACAAAGGTAAAGTGAGAGTGCTTCTAATATTCTCTTCAAAATAGAGAATATATGCCTTTATACGCCTGGAAATGGAGGTGTTATGTCTTCATTTTTGCTCCCATGATGCTTTCTATATGGGTGTAAATTGACTCATGATCTGCTCCCAGGGGCGGCTTTTGAGAAACTTGTGGGATTTTATCCATACTCTAATTGGTAATCCTGCTTCTCCTTTTTGTGTTTATTGTGCTTAGATTATCTGATACAGTTCAATGAAAATCAGTTCAATGAAAGCATGACATGCCCAATTTGTCAGCTACATTACCTCTCTCTGCTTCCTTTCTTGTCAATGCAGCACCCAAGATCAGAGTGAGTTTGCACTAGGGCTTTCTTTATGTCTGATCCTATTAGTACTCATTTTGATATAGTAGAGTTATTCTCCAAAATGGAAATAAGGAGAGGGAAAGTATTCACATAATATAGAAATGATTTGAAATCCATTAGAGTGGAACAAAAACGTAGCTCAAGAGGAAAATGGCATGGAGATGAAAATTAAAAATAATAATGAAACTGGAGTGTTGAGAGCCCACTAAATCATTCCCAAAAATTTGTGTAAAAAGTGAAGGTTATTGCATAATCTTCTGGGCTGGATGATGGGAATGGAATTGGCATGTAACTCCCCAGTCACTGTAAATTACAGTGATCACTATACTACATTTTATTTTAGCAGAAATGCTGCAGAGTTCCTTATTGGGTCTTGATTGCTTTGCACCTGTGACTCCCTTAGTAGGCAATGCAGAAGAACTAGCTCCATGCAGATTTCTGGAATGCTTTTGTGAAATACCTCCATTCATCAAGGGGGTTGTGAGAGATACTGCAACACTTCTTCGTGTCTAGGCATATACTATGAAAGGTACAAGAAAAACCTGTCTCCTAATATACTGCTGTATGCTACCCACTTCCTTGAGTGATGAGTGGTTCCAACGTAAGTACTACCTGGGTTTGGCTTCCTTTGAAGGAGAGAGAGGGAGAGAGAGAGAGAGAGAGAGAGAGAGAGAGAGCATGCACACTAGTCTGGTTCATTACATTTTTTGTAGCATTTCAGTTGTTGTTGTTTAGTCGTTTAGTTGTGTCCGACTCTTTGTGACCCCATGGACCAGAGCACGCCAGGCACTGCTGTCTTCCACTGTCTCCCGCAGTTTGGTCAGACTCATGTTTGTAGCTTCGAGAACAGTGTCCAACCATCTCGTCCTCTGTCGTCCCCTTCTCCTTGTGCCCTCAATCTTTCCCAACATCAGGGTCTTTTCCAGGGAGTCTTCTCTTCTCATGAGGTGGTCAAAGTATTGGAGCCTCAACTTCAGGATCTGTCCTTCCAGTGAGCACTCAGGGCTGATTTCCTTAAGAATGGATACATTTGATCTTCTTGCAGTCCACGGGACATTTCAGTAGTTACCTACAAATATGCAAAGCCTAGGCAAGCAACATACACCCGTCCAAGACAACCATAACAGCCAGAAGTCCTCTCTCTCTGACTCTCTGTCTGTCTGTTCCAAATTGCAAGTTCTTGTTTCATCTCTCTCTCTCCCCTGACTCCTCATAGCTAGGAAAGTTCTTCAATATTGGTTCGGTAGGTTCCCATTATGATGCAAACTGAGCAAACTCATCCCTCTGCACTCTAGAATGCTTCCCAGTGACTGCCAGTGAATTACTTTCCTCATCTGCCCTGCCCTACTTAATTATAAAATGTAACCCAACCCAATAGAAAAGCTTCTATTATTGTAGGAACAGTGTTGGGGAAGTGAAAAAACCTGCTTCTCTTGATCAGTTTTGTTGACTGGCCAAACAAACAAACAAACAAACAAACCTATCACCACCCCTATTTGACCCAGAAGCAACCAACCTTTCCTACACTGCCTTTGCTATGTGAGGGGTGTGTGAGAGAGTACCGCTGAGCAAAATTCAAAGAGGGCTGGCAAAGGGGTGGACACCCTGTGACTGGTTTCTTACAATCAACTACTTATGTGCTACAGAAGTCTAGTGCTGGCAGGAATTTCAAGGTAATACAGCGTGATTAGCTGTCCCAAAGCCAGAATAGCTGCACAATATCCCCTTTTGGTTAACCTGTGTAAATGAGCCTTAGTCGCAAAAAGTTCTCTTACTTAACAATAACATTCTGAATCTTTGTTTAAATTTGTTTTCTTTTATAACACTCTGCATTAAAAAGCGGGGTACAGAAGAAGCAGCCAAGCCCTCGTACTCTTTGATTGAGCTAGAGAAGTCAGGGCTTCAAATTAGAATAATTTTAGTGGCCAGAAACTCAGACAATAGCAAGAGCAATTTTCTTCAAATTTTGCAGGCAAATCTCGTTTGACTTCACAGCAAACCTGGCAATTTTCAGGCCAAACCAATTTGTGTCATTTTTTCCCCCTGGCCAAAATTACAGGGGTCTAAAAATAGGGTTTAGATTATAATGACAGTTTCTGCCTTTAACCTGTGAACATGAAATACAAGTCTCCATTATACTGCAGTTCTTGCTAATTAAGTTGGGGGGGTAGCGACAGGGGAAGAAAGTCAAGTAAACCATTAAAGCCGTAGTGTTGCCCTAAGTCAACTATTCTGAGCTTTTTCCTGAGAGCTTTTTTTGGTCTCTCGATACGAACTCAGAGATAGGACTTTAAGTAGCGTCTATGAAATGTTTTTGATCATTGTCATTCTGTCTTATTGTCTTTGACAAATGATTGTGATTTGGGGGGCACTTTTGTTCTCTTTGGGAGGGAGTCCTGCAGTGTGGAACAACTGAATAGTAGTGGCAGGTTGATTTTAGACCCTAGACTGCAATATGCTGCTATACAAAGCTATGGACTGAACCTTAAGCGTAACAACAATTTTTTGTTCCTATTGTGCTTTAGAGAAGCACCCACAGCCCAAAATAATTTTGCTCTTAAACAAAGCTTTCCGATAAACTACAAACTTTTTGTAAATGCTTCACAGATATGTTGGGGGCAGAACCCAATATTGATTCCAACCCATCTGAAGTAGTTTATATAGTTTATATTTGACTTCAGTTTATATATGACTTCATACAAAAAGAATCCCAAATATATTTACAGGGGCAACAACAATGAATAACCACTTAAACAGAAAGGATTTAGATGTAGTGTTGAAATCTTATCTGTTATTTAAATATCCCAGTGTACTTTCCGAACTGTGTGTCACTATAATAAAACCAATACTTCGTTGTAAAACCACAGCTGTTCAACATGTGTTTTCTTAGCTGAGCTCATGGTAAGTGACTCTTACCTGGTTTGGGGTGGATGCTGGTTTCACCCCCCACCCCAGGAGCGGAAAATCCTTTCCCTCACAACTAGCCATTGGACGTCTTCACAACAGGACACAATGGGTTCTGGGATCACCCAGGCCCACTTCATTCTGGTCCACTGTTGGAGAATAAAAGCCTGCTGTGGGGAAGACTGTCAACACAGTTGGCGGAAAAGCAACCTGCCTGCCTCACATGTTGCTTTTAGTTGATTGGTATAATGACCTTGCTGTGGTTTAAAAATGGTTGCCATATTTGGAGCCAGGAAGGAATTTGCCTTCAAACACATTGGACCTGTTTGGGGTTTCTGCCTTCCTCACAGCTATTGTCACATCTTTCGGCGAATAAAGCATTGGGTAATCCTTAGTCTGGTTTCTGGGTCCAGGGTGATTTGGGGCTTCGGCCTGACCTCAGGCAGGTGTTTTCTCATGGTACCCTAGTAAAGCGGTCTGAATGGAAGTTTCTGTCCTGAAGCCAGGCATGGGGCAGAAGGGCCATAGAAGCTCTTTTTTTTACCCATATGTGACTCTCTCTCTCTCTCTCTCTCTCACACACACACACACACACACAACATACTCATCCCCCAGAATAGTATTCCCGTACCTTGCTGTAGACAGCATAACAACATATTCACAGGGCTTCAATGACTCCATACGGACATAAAAAGAACCTGCTGGATCAGGCCAATGGCCCATTTAGTTCAGCATCCCCACCATGGCTGAACAAATGTCTGTGGAAAACCTGCAATTGGTACGCAAGCAAGCAGTCTCCTCTCCTGCGGTTTACAGAATCTCCTATTCAGAAGCATGCTGCCTTCCTATGGAGGCAGAGCACAGCAACCATGGCTGGTAGCCATCAATAGCCTTATCTTCCATGAATCTGCCTAATTCTCTTTTAAAGCTATCCAATTTGGCTTTCTATCACCTGTCTGGATTCTTTCAACATGCAGCTTCATTGGATGTCCACAATTTCTAGTTTTATGAGAAACTAGAGCTTTCTCCATGCCATGCATTTTATTTTTTTTATGCAGTTCTATCATGTCACCTTTTACTCGATTTTTCTCTAAACTAAAAAAATCCTACAAACCTTTCTCATAGAGGAGTTGCTCTGTCTCCATATCATTTTGGTTGCCCTTTTCCAAACCTCTTCCAACTCCAATGTCCATTTTGAAGTGAGAAGACCAGACAGGTACACAGGATTCCAAATGCGGCTACATGGCATTTACATTGACAATTTTGTTTTCCTTTCCTAATGATCCCTTGCATGGAATTTGCCCTTTTCACAAGTGAAATGATGATTACTGCATTACTGTACACTTGTTTACACTGAATTGCCTTTGCCATTTTACCGCCTATGCACTGAGTCTCTTTAGAGCATTTTAGAATCTCTTTTTAACTATCCTGAACAGTTTAGTATCATCAGAAAATTGGGCCACTTCGCTGCTCACCCACAACTCTAGATCATTTATGAACTAGTTAAAAAGCAACATATCCCTCTGTCCATCCATTCAGGGAACCATCCCTTTATTCCTGCTGTTTCCTAGTCCACAAGAGGACCCTCTCCTCTTATTTCATGACTGCTCAGCTTACTCAAGAGTCTTTGGTTTGGGGATGTCAGCTGGGAATCACTCCTTTGAATTGTTTCAAACTAGATATGTTGATCAAAATGTTATTTATTGTAACTTTCTTTCATGGCTGTCATTGTGCATTTATCCATTTTCACCGTAATGACATCTTCCTTTCTCTCTCCTCCTCTGGGTCTCATTATCTAATTCAAAACTGGCAGGATTCCTGCTTTAATTGGATGGTCTTGGCTGTGTTTCCTGGGCACTGATACGCTGATTCCAAGGTGAAGGAGTGGTGCCCTTGTAGTTGACAGCTGGGATAGATTTTCAGCAGTCGCTGTTTAGAATTGTCACCTTGCAGCTGGGCCTTTGCCCAGACCTTGGACTGGATATTGAATGCCAAGGACCCAGAAGCCAAGTTGCAGCCTTGCACTGTGATCTGGAGTACAAGCTGGTAGCTGTCACTCTGAACAGACACTAACGGCTTCCTGCTGACATCTTCTGTAGACCATGGTGGCCAATTGGGAGTGAAGTGTGTGTGACCAGTCAGCTAATTAGAGAAAACATTGCCTGCACACAAATGAAGCCATTGATGGGAAGCCTCCACTGTATATGCACAGAACTTTTCTACATGTCCAGGTTTTATTAAGTGAGCATTTGTTATAAACTACATTAATATCTAAAATGAAAAGTCCTTAAAGCCTGCCTGGGCATATCACATTTTCCCGGGAAGCTGAAATCCACAATGAGAGACACTTCTTTTAGTGCCAAGCGACAAACACTTTGCACATGCTTAGACACATTCTTCTTTGTCTGATTTTTGTCAGTTCCAGCCTAAGCCCTAGCTCATATTAAGCCCTGATTATAAATGAATCTTTCCACTGGGCTTTGCCAATGAAGGAATCTTCTGATTTTGTTGACTGTTTTATCATAAACTGAATCCACAGAGTCTATAAGCACCAATAAACTTTTGTGCTTCCCCCTTTATCTCTACAATATATTTTCTTTTAATATTTACTATGGACTATTTTATTACAGGTTAGAAAGAAAACTGGGAATTATCTGACAGATAAAGAACAGAGAAGCGGCTGAACTCTAAATTACGAACCATAGCAAATAACTGTTATAATCCATTTGCGGTTTCCCACCCCACTCTTCCCCTCCTTCCTTCTCCTGTCTTAATAGAATATAACTGATGTTTCACACTGTGGCCTGCATTATAACTTCACAGTGGCTGTAGAGATGTATTAATGTGCTTATAAATCTTTTATATTTCAGCAGGTTTTTAAAAAATCACACCATCATTCCTAATATAATTTTGAACAGTCATAGTGGATTTTCTGGCGTTGTTTCTTTCTTTCTTTTTTTAACAAAACAGTGAATGACAAGCTTACCCTGGGCCTTTTAACTTCTCCATCCATTCCTTCTCTGGCATCTAAAATATGCCCCGGAGGCTGCATCAATGATTATTTAGGAAAAACATGCATGACGACATTTCAAAATGTGCAAAGACAGATTAGTTTAGCAAAGGAAATCGCTAATAAAATTCTGTTCATCATTTCCAGTGAGATTTTTCTTTTCCTATCGATTCTCCAGTGTGCTCTTCTAGGAGCCAAGCAGAACCCCCTTCTCACAGCTGGACCCGACACTTAAGCAGAGCTTGGGAGGGGACCATAGCTGAGGTTTTTGCATGCAGAACATCACAGGTTCAACCCCCAGTATCTCTGATTAGGAAGTATCTCAGATAGGTGATGGGAAGGACTAGAGAGAAAGTAGAGAATCCTGGCAAAAAAAGACTAAGCGTTTGATCTGGTAGGCTGAATTCTGAGGGTCAAACTGAACAAGAGATAATCACGTAGCAGGCAACTAGAGAACAAGTAGGGAAGTCTGATTCTCACTGCAAAGGCAGCATGTGGGAAGGAAGGGCTTATCTATTCACTCCCACACTGAGCCTGGAACAAACATGTCCCTTGTCATTGTTCACTGCCCATGGGGGAGCCTTAAAAGAAGGTCCCCGTTGGCACCAATGGGACTTCTCTCCTAAAACTTCTAGCCCAACAGTGGATAGTGTGGTGTGGGGACATTGTCATGGGCCAGGAGTCATCTTCACCTGCTGAACATCAGCCTGAAGAGGGGATAGGGCAGAGTGACTCCACCTGCAGCTGATCAGCCTTCAAGGACACAGAGGAGAAGGCACTGATGAGAACCAGCTAGCTTTAGCCTTATTAAGCAGAGCTTCCAGCTGCAGTCAGATGCTGATAACAATGCTTGTTATGTTCCTGGCTCCTGTCTTGCTGCTTCCTGCTCATCTTGACCCTTGACCCCCTGTTCATTGGATTCCCTGAACCCCCGGACTGTCTGACAATGTGGATTGCTCTTCACCCGACCCTTGGACTGGACCTAACTTTGGACACTGATTCTGTTTCCAAGCAAGTACACCTCAGACACTCTTTGGGTTGGTCCCACTGAGCTCTGCACATTGTGGCTTAGCAATGAGACCATGACAGACACTTCCATTCCAATCCTGGTTGAGTACTGAAGAGATAAACCCCCTTTTCTTGTGTGCTACTTTTACAACATTAATTTAGATCCCCTGCTATATATTCAAGCACACATCTACAGATTCTTTCATATTTTACATAGCAAAATTGACAAGCCTGTTAATTCCTGGGGTGAATTAAGTGATATCATGAGAACCACAGTTATCCTATTGTATGTCTTGAATGATTCAAGTGCAGCACATCTGCATTCAGGGTCTCCCTGTATCCATCATAACAGCTTTGAGAAATCACGTGAGCTTACTAGTGCTAGGGGGAAGCACACTCATACTCACACCAAACACATCTAGTTTCCTACCCCATGCCATGATATGCGAGTGTGATGAAGTAATTTTTTTTTATCCATTCACTTTAAATGTCAGGGCTATGTGTCTAAGTAGAATTTTATTAGATTGTTTTTATGGACTAATACAGACAGAGGCAGCGATGGCGCAATAAAACGGTTAGGTTCCCTTTGAGAATTTGGAGGAGCAGACTTTAGTTTTCTGTCGGAACTTCCTGCCACCATCCATCTCTATGGATTGCTGCCTGCAGTTCACACAAGAACTAAATTGTTTTATTGCTATTAACTGCAGATGCTATGGAAACACAAAATAATTCTTCCCTTATGATCAGGGTCTGTAGAGCCCGCTAGTTGGATCTACCTACATTTTCATGGCATGAGTGCCTTGTTTCTGGCCGTCAGAATCTCTTTTCCAAAAAAACTTCAGGCCCCATTCAGCAGAAGCTGGCTTATCACACTTTGAACTAAGTGACGTAATATGCACATTATCACTGTAAGTTTGGAATCCCGAATGACCCAAATGAACCACTGCAGCTACAAAGCTATTCATGTAGGAGATGTGCTACCTACAATTGCTGGTCAGGAGCACCTTCCCCCCCTCTGCTAATTCACTGATTTTGTGCAATGAGTAAGTATTGTTATAAACAATGAAATGGCCCTATGGCCTTTGAAGAACCACTCTAAGAAAGGGGCAAGTGCTGTATCTACATCTCCTAAAGAAATCTACCAGCAAGGCTTTTTTTTTTTTGCCACATATACACTTCCAACATACTCTACTGGGGAGAAAGGTAGCCCTTCAAGGGGCCATATTTCTCCCAAGGGTCTCCAGCTGCTACCACCTTGTACAGTGTCAAAGGTATTAAAAATAACTGTGCTACACAGTAAAGGTACTAATCAAAGTGTTTGTGTGTGAGAGAGTGCGAGGGGGGAGGGGAGATTGAGAGACAATTTGACCTGTGGTAATTAATTCTGGTAGTATAGTTTGTTATTTTCAATGCTAATTGCATACTTCAAAGCAGCTTACAAAATCAAAGCATTAAACTTTCCCCCCATTTTTAAAATCAAATAAAACCATACTGCTGGGCTGGAGAAGCTGTGGTTCTCCAGCTGTTCTTCTCTAGCTGTTGATACAGCTCCTCTCATCCCTCACTTTTCATTGGCCTTGCTGACTGTTGGCCATTGGAGTATGGAGGGCCACAGCTTCCCCACCCCACAAAGCCTCCAACATTTCTCTGATGAAAATAGGGACGTCCCATTCCATAGTGATAATTTTACTATTTATACCCAACACATCTTACTGGGTTGCCCCAGCCACTCTGAGTAGCTTCCAACATATATAAAAACATAGTAAAACATTAGAAAGAAAGAAAAAATCCCTATACATGAGTTGCCTTCAGATGGCTCGGGGGTTGGATAACCTCATACCCTCCCACATTTCTCCAATGAAAACAGGGATGTCTTAAAGGAAAGTGGGACATTTCAGGATAAAGTCAGAAAGCGGGACGGCTTCTCTAAATCAGGGACATCCCTGGAAAATAAGGACACTTGGAGGGTCTGCACCCCCTCATAACAGATCACATCATAAAATGTCTATATGTTAAAATATCAAAAAATGTTTGACTAAATTCAATGGTTTTTACCTGATGGAATTTCAGTTGCTTAACTTTGCTTTTTTTTTTTTTAAATAATATTTATTCCAAATTTAAAGTTACAAAAAAGAAAAAGAAAACCATACAAAATACAAAGAAAACTTCAACCATAACAGAGCAAAAAATAAACAAGTAAAAAAAAAACAGTAAGATAGAATAAAGAAGAGAACTTAACAAAAAATATAAAAATACATTAAGTTAAGATAAAACAAAAGCAGATTAAACCTTTACATAACCTTTTCCCTTTACTTATTTCCATGACCTCCTCTCACCTCCCAATTTTGTATTCTAGTTCAGATCGTGTTTCCAGCAAATCCTTCTAACCTTATTTTCATTTACGTATTTTAAAATTAAGATAATGTAATTACACCTCCTCTATTTCATCAATTTCATCAACTCATTTTTGCTTATTCCATTATATCATATCTACCAGAATGATATAATATTCTTTTTCCAACCTCCTTCTAACATTCTTCAGTTGCTTAACTTTGCAATGGAAAAGACCACCCACCTTGGTTCAGAAGGCAGAGGACATGGAGGTCTATGATAATATACCTTATTATGAGGTATAATTTGCCGCAGTATGCACCCATAAAATACACTACTTACCTAGACTAGAGCACGCTTTTCAACCTCATTGAGTATATTTGCCTTTTTCTGGAGTGAGCTGTTAAAACCAGTCTTTCTTGAATGCTACCAGGAACTGAATAATCATTGGTAGGTTCTGCCACATTAAGGTGACGACTCTAGCATGTCAAAATGCACACAGCCTCCAGAAGGTAGAAGGTGCAGTGTCCAAATGCAGTGGTGATACAAGGTTTAGCCACAGGGCCACTGGGCTAAACCATGACTACATTTGGGGGAAATGAGCCAAGTGCAAGCTAGGTACCAAGGAATGCCTGACAACCCAAATTTGGTGCATCTGTATCCAGATCATGAAGATAATAATCTAGATGATGATGATGATATAACCATAACAGTTTTCATTTCACTAGGAAGAAGCAAAGTCAGGGTGATGTCATCTAGATGTAGGCAGAATGGGGAGTCCCAATCGCTTGCTCTGTCAGACTTTTCAGGAGTTGTTGAGGGAAGGAAAATAAGAATATATGTATGGAAAAATCTGCACAAAATGTGGCAATCTCATCTTATTTCATGCAAAGCACTTTGAAGCTCTTTGAAACAGCATGCGATCCTTTATCTTTCTTTAGCCTTCATGTGACATGATACTTCTGTAAGTCACTGAGATAAAGCATCACAAGAAGAAAATCTTTTGAATTACCTTGGTGACCTTGCTTTTTCAAAAAATGCAAATGTGTGTGGGAAATGTGATATCCCAGAAAAGCAAAAGTTGCAGAGAGCCTGTCTTCCCTAAACGAATGAGAGAGAAAGCAACTGTGTGTGTGTGTGTGTGTGTGTGTGTGTGTGTGTGTTCTGTGGCGCCTTAAAGGCCCACTGGTTTATTGTTGCAGTGACACGCCCCCCCCCGAAACTGTATCCATGGTAGAAATGGCTGTGGAATGGCTAAGTTTGGACAGGGCCAGTGGGCCTATAGTAATTCATCCAGGATCAGGCTGCATACACAAGATACCCTTAAGCCTGTGGTTCCCAATTAGTGGGTTGTTCTAAAGTGAATTTCTTAGGATGTTTTCAAAGGGTTTTGTTCTTTAGATATGTTCCGAATTCT